TTTAAATGAATAATTACAAGAGATAATTGTGGGATTTATCTACAAGATAAATAAGAAATTATCATGCCTTATCTTTTTATCCAAATGAGTGGGCCAGCTCCCTTGGGTCTTTTGGAAACTTTTTTGGAAGGCCCAAAACGTGGCAAAAAAAGCTTTGGGCAACCTTGATCGCATGTTCTTTGATCTTAGGTCGCATTCCATAACATTAGCTTGAGAATTGAACCCACGTCCTTTTGGAGGAAAGGAAAAGGCTAGGCCACTGGGCTAATCAAGATAATTATTACTTATTCAACACAAAATATATTTAATTTATACTCTATTACCACCACAAAACAAGATATTTTAATTAAAATTAGGACTCAAACTTAGAATTTCTCCCCAATAAAAAATAGTGTACAAATCATTAAGCTAGTTTATAAAATTAATTATATAAGATCAATTTTATATTTAATTTATATATAATTATTTAATCAAAGAATAGATTATTTAAAAATTTAAAACATTTTTAGTATAAACTATATAAAATATTAATTCATTAAAATAAACACTATTTTAGAACTTCATAAATCCTCTATTAATTGAATAAAAAATTTAATTATTTATTATAAAAATAATTTTTAATATTTATTTAATTTAAATTTATATTATATGATCATAAATAAATATTTTAAATTTAATTTTTAAAATAGTTTAATATTGATTTTTTAAAAAACATATATTTAATTATTTTTATTATAAAATAAAGTTAAAATAATTTAATTTTTAATTGAGTAATTTGTTTTATAATGAAAAATGTTATATATTTTTAAATAATTTAATAATGTAGTATTTAATTAAAATATCTTGTTTTGTGGTGGTAATGGAAAATAATTAAATATAGGTTGTCGTAATTTATCAACTATTAACTTGCTTAGCCTAATGGCTGACCCTTTATTGCTTTACGTAGAGGACACGAGTACAATTCCTTAGTTGTGCACAAATTTTATTGTTTTTATTTCATAGGGTTGTGACACGTGTCATCACATTATTGGTTGAATAAAATAATAAAAATATATTATTTGATTGCTGACATAGCAATTTAAAAAAATTATCACGTTATGCTACATCAACCATGCCGTTAAGTTTTTAACGATGGGTAACAAAATGAAACAAAAACTAAACATTAGATATGATTTTGTAAAAATTGAAAGTTCAAGTACCAAAATGTACCATAAGTGAAACTTTTGGTACTAAATGCGTAATTTACCCTAAATAATTTACGTTATTTTTTAGCTAATTTATAATTATACGTAGAGTACTTTATAATTTTAAAGTTTTATAAGTTAAATTAATGGTGTTCATTGTTACTTGTAGAGCGTGGAAGAATCATCCTCAAAATTAATATTATGCTTTAAGGTTCATGACCCAAATCAAAACATAACATAAATCATGAAAATATAAAACATAACATAAAACATGAAAATATAAAATATACAAGAATGTGAAAAAATATTATTAATCCATTATACCAAACTTGTATAAATAATAGAACTATTATTTTTTAAACTAAGTCAAGAAGTTAATTATTGTTTACGTAAACTACATAAATGGCACTTTTGTTTGAATTTTATAAATATTTCCTTATTGAATTAAAAAAAACACAATATTTGATCTTTTTTGTTTTAATTAAGATGTGATCACTGAAGATTAACGATCGCTAAACCATTAATGATTTGTTGATATGACACGGTAAATATATAAAATTAAAATTACATTATTTCTGTATAGATAATACGTGGATTAAGTTTTAGTAACTTTCCTTTCATATTTGTACTTTTTCTCACTAAATTTAAAAACATAAATTTTGGTCACTTATGTTATCATTTATTAAGTTTGATCACTCATGTTATCGTTTTATTAAGTTTTGGTCACTTGTATTATCTTTTTATTAAGTTTTGGTCATTTAGATGTTAAATATTGTTAGTTCGATGACGTGACACGTTAATAAAATGTCTAATTTTTATTTTATCCCCTACACTTTAGATAAAATACTAATCAAGGTCTTTTGTAAATTAAAATTAATTTAGGGACAACATTTCAATTTATCTATTTTAATAGGTTTTCTTCTCAACCCCGTTGTTGTTCATTTTGTGTCTACTTCTTCTTCAGACATCTTTGATTCATTGCTCTATTTGCCTTCTTTCAAGAACTCATGCTGTATTTCAAGAATAATGCAAGATTTCCAACTTTCAATAATATTAACACCACAAGTTTAGAGTTTAATAAAAGAGTTATGACTCAATTACACATAAGATATATGAAATACATGCCCTCTAAAATAATCAAGACGTACTCTGAAGCTCGACTAAATCTAGAACCCATAAACTGGCAATAAGCTCCTCAACTTGCACATAAGAACTTACGAATGGAAACAAATTCTGAATGTTGAGCTACGAGATCAACGTCACATAAATAACTCTATTATACTACATGCATCCAATAAGAACATATGCTAACAAGTATAATCATGAGGCAATGAAATGCATCAATTATAGATCAAAACACAACATCATGCACTTTCGAACATACGCGCATAATAGCATTGTCATCGAATGACTAAAGCGCCTTAGCACTGATATGGAAGTGTGTTAGCACTGATACTAAAGTGTCTTTACACTAATAAGGTTATATCAAAATATCCTACATACTTTCACAATAGATGATCATCATATATTCAAGTAGCTCAGGTGTTCTATCTATTTCTCGAGTATCATAACAAAGGCATAAGTCTTATGTACTAATTCTTCATAACGTTCTTATGCTTAACACACAACATTAGGGGTTTTCACTTTCAAGCTTATTAGAGTAATTCAGGTTCTAATCCCTTTCTAAGCCCTTAGCCAAACATTAGGCATCTTGCTCAAATCAATATGATGGTATCGATATTGATCCCTTCAGTATCAATATAGATCCTTCAGTACTGATACCCATCATTGGTACCAATACCAAAATTGCATTATGAATTCTGAGAAGGCCTTAGAGTATCGATACACTTAGATGGGATATCAATACTTTTCTATTAGGGTATCGATACCATCCTGGGTATTGATACCAATTTAAGGTTCGATGTTTGGAAAATTAATTCAGTATCAATACCCTTACCTAGAGTATCAATACTTCTTCTTTATGGAATATCGATACTACCTAAGTATTGATACCAAAATTTGGCTACTAGAATTTTTAACTTAAAGATGGTATCGATACCATGTCCTCAGTATCGATACCCCATGAAAAACATTGATACCCTATGTGTTAGGTTCGATGAAGCTCGATTGTTCAACCGAAATATACCAAAAGGGGTAAATTGATTTTTTGAAGTTTAAAGAGTAAGAAGTATAAAGATAAAAAATTTGCACAATGATTTATAGTGGTTCAATTCCCTCAATGAATTCTACATCCACTATCTAAGCTCCTCACTTAGGATTTTCCAACAATCCACTAATTTGTTCTTTCTTTTTCAAGGATAAAGAGATAACCTTTACAAACTCCATAGCTTTTCAAAGGCTTAGCTAGAACAAAAGCCCATTTACAGAGGAAAAGAATTGTAAACAAGAAAATCTCTAAAAAGGAAGGTGTTTACAAATTAAAACTAGCAAAAACACAAATATTTACAAAGATAAAGAAAATAAAGAATGAAAAACTTTTCTTTTGTGTTTGAATGCTTGGATAGGTGTTGTGTGTCTTTCTTCAAGTGTCTTGAACTTGTTTTTATATGTTGGAATGAGTTACTAGTCGTTTCTAGATGTCTGGGAAGGTTTGGAGCCGTTGGAAGACTTTCTGCACACAAAGTTTTGAAACTCTAGGAAAGTTTTGAAACTATTCGAAAAAGCCATTGGAAATATGACCATTGGAGCCCAAGTATCAAAACTTTAGGGAAAGTTTCAAAACTCTTGAAAAGTATCAAAACTTTTTGGGAAACTGTCTAGGAAAGTTTCGAAACTCTTGTAGAAGTTTCGAAACTTCTGGTCAAAATACTCATTTTAAGGTTTTGATTGGACTTTGAATTATTTTTGAAAACTTTGAATAAATTCAATTTAGTCCAACAAACATTTTGTACTTATTTGTTATATCAAAATATAAGTTTTAAACTATGAACAGAGTATCAATACTACCTGACCAAAATCCCTTGAATTTGGCCTTCCAAACAAACAATATCGGTACTGGCCATCTAGTACTAAAACTCAAAACCTAGAAAACTCTATTTTCTCTCAAGAAAGACACTCCTCCCATACCCAAAGCCCTCATAAGTCCTTCAAGTACTATTTAAAGATTATGAGAGTTTAAGGAGATCATAATACGTCATTTGCATGCATGAGAAACATCAAAATACCCCATTTTCCTTCATGAACATAAATATACCCATTTTACTCCCATGCACTCATTTCTAAGGGTTAGAACTCATATTTCTACACCTCTTAAGTCCTAAAATGAGTTAATACTCCATTTCTTTGCTTTTGATTAGTGAGAGAAATTGGAGAGAGCTCCAAGGGGAAAAAACAAGGAAAAACTTTTGCTTGGGTGACTTTGAGGTGATTCCCAACAGCTATGATCAAGGTAACACACTTCTAACTCGTCTACACCACTTATAGATTATTAAGTGTAGTTTTCTTACTTTTATGAGTGCATGGTCAAACAAAGTTTTACGAGTTTTTTGTTTTAAGAGGGTGAAAAAAATAAAGTTTTAAAAGTTTTGTGGTTAAACCAAAAATTAATTTTTGTTATTAATGTACCACATCATTTAACAAACGAAAGCTAACGAATCAGTGACAAAATTGTAATAAACTGATAACTAAGTGATCAAAATGTAAAGAACTGATAGCATACGTGATTCAAATACTATTTTTTTCAAAACCGATGATCTAAATAAGACATAACAAAATAAAAGGGACTGTATATGTAATTAACCCATAAAATTATATATAAAGAAGTTTCGAGGTTTAAATTAAGCTATTTAAATTAAACATCTCCTTACACATCCCCGCCGCCGAACAAGCCTCTCCTCCTCCTTCAGTCCCTTCCCCTTCAAGCCAGGAAATTAAATAAGGTAAGTTTATGAAACCCTAAACTTTATTAGGACATTCTTTCACCTTGAGTCATGAGATTTTTAGTTATCGTTCGCTTTTCGGCTGCACTGCTATTTGCCGCAGCCAACTGCTTCTGCTATTGATGTGAACTTTTTTACATGCTATTGAGGTCCTTAATGATCACGGGTATTTGAAACCCACTTTTAAGCTTAATACTAAAAACCATTGGAGTTTAACTTCGTTCTTTTGTGTACCCTTTTTGAAGCGTATTATTTATGAGTAACTCTTATTGAAAGTTTAGCTTTAAGACGAACCATTTGGGGGACATTCTGAATTTTACTCTACGAATTGGATTTTTCAGTTAAATTCCTATTTGGGTATTCCTTATGTTTCTATTTGGTTGTGTCTTCAGCTAAAACTTTGCGATTTTAGGGTTTCTCTGTTTTGAACTTTGAATTGAAAAATTATGTTTTTGCATATGCTAAAGCAATTTACCTTTTGATAGGTCAGGATATGGGATCCTCGAACATCAGAGATATTTTGGCAGCATTTAGTCCTTCATTGGACTACTTTGCTATTAGTGTTGGAGATGGTCGTATTAAGGTAGCTAAAATCATTTCAAGAGTAATTGATTGATGATGATTTTGAGAACTAGCGGTTGCATTTTATGGTTCAATGTGAACAGTTTTGCATCTTGTCTAAAAGAAATATTTTTGTCTTTTTAGATTTGGGACACTTTGAAGGGTCAAATTCAAACCGAATTTGCAGACATTGTATCAAATGAGGCAACAAACATATACGCTAAGGCAGAAAGAGGGCATCTTTCAATTGATTACAAATGTATGAAGTGGTTGTCTTTTGACAAAAAGGTTTGTTATTTTTATGTTAATGAAACAATTTTGCAGAATTTTGATGGCATGCCTTTTCTTCTACGATGAACTAACTTTTGAACCAAAAACCCTTAATTTTTTGCAGAAGAAAAGGAAACTTGGAAGTTCTTTTCTAGTATTGGGAACAGGAAGTGGCGATGTCTTAGCACTGGATGTGTCAGCTGGTCAGTTGAAGTGGAAAGTTAGTGATTGTCATCCTGGGTATGCACATGTTGTTGAATTAATTTTTGTTCCCCGAATTTACTGGCGAAACCCAAAACATCCAATATGATATAGCAATTATCTGAATTGGAAGTGGAAATTCATGATAAAATGAAGTCACCATGAATAATAGATGGAATTCAATTATGACTATGCATGAAATTTTCACCTCCCTTAAATGAGATCCCAGGAAATATTGAAACTTAATATCTCAGTCCTTTTGATAGGCATTTTGCATTCTACAAAAACTAAACAAGATTCTAATGTATTGTAATGAGCTCATGATTATTTTGGATGAATGCATTAGCCATTTAGTCATTATCTATTATTGCTTAGTATTGTTTTCTCTGCTCATTTTCTCTCATAATATCTCACAGGGGTGTCAGTTCTATTGCACTTGCTACGAATGGGTCTTGTATTTATAGTGCTGGGGCTGATGGGATGGTTTGCAAAATCGATTCATTGACCGGAAACCTATTGGGGAAGTTCAGAGCCTCAACAAAGTCCATATCCTGCATGACTGTCTCATCAGGTATGTGTTTTTGGCAGCACTCTTGCTCTGCTTTTGATTTCTATTCTACTGGTGCTTCATGCTGAATTCGTCATCTTGATGTGGACTTTTTCTTAGTTGATGGTATTTATTTTACCAGGCATTAATGCTTTAGTACACTGGACATATGTTACTATGCTAGTGGCCATTGAGTGATAAGTGGGAGTCTGCCACATAAAACCATCTTGTTTGCATATTCCTAAACATCTAATGTCATAGGACATATGAGATAACTTAAGGCAGCTTCCCTTGCTTGTGTTAGATTGAAAACACTTTTTACAGGTTTTGATTCTTGTTCCATTTTGCTAATGCTGTAACTTGGATTCCAACCCTTCTTTTAGATGGCAAGACGTTAGTCACTGCAGCTGCACAGTTGAAGACTTTTGATTGTTCTAATCACAAAAAGATACAGAAGTTTATGGGACATCCTGTAAGTGTTTTCCAGTTCATGTGCCTTTTGTGGTCATAACTTTATCCAGTTAAGTGGAGATGTGCAGTCAATCTCGTTATCTTTATTTCCTTTTTCCTTTACTTAATTAGTTGTTTTTAAATTCATAGGGATCTGTTCGGTGCATGATATTTACTGAAGATGGAAAATTTATCCTATCATCTGCTGTTGCTGAAAGATATATAGCTGTATGGAAAGCAGAAGGCGGCAAAAAGCAGTCTGCTAGTTGTGTTTTAGCAATGGATCACCCTGCTGTCTTCATAGATAGCGTACGTGTTAACGAGGAGATCTATGTTTTTGCGACTTCAGAAACTGGTGTTTGTTATTTTTGGTATGGTCAGAATGTTGAGACATTGTGCAATGCTAAGCCTACAAAACTTTCAATATCTTTGGAAGATGGTATATCTAAACCTCACAAAGGTGCATTGCCTACAATATTTGCTGCAAAATTGCTAGGCGTTCCCAAGCCTGAATCCGTGCATGTGTTTCTCGCCAATGGTTTGTTGGTAAAGCCATTGTTTCAGAAAATTTTGGTGCAATATGGCTCGGACATATTGTTGAGTAGCTCTCAGGATGGGGTCCTTTTACCAAGGAGCCAACCCCTTAACAAATTGAAGAAAGGACTCGATGCACAGAATAGAGGTACATGTGACCATAATTCATGATTATGCTGGAATACTAACTTCTGAATCATTTGGCAATGTTTCATAAACCTTGCATTCTCGCAGAACCCCTCAATACAAAAAAGTGGACATTTAATTATTTTTCTTGATTTATCGGATTCATCTAGTTGAACATTATGGTTATCTGTATTTTATTTGTTGGGGATGCAAAAATGGTAATGCCCTTTTGCCTGGTTCAATTCCCCCCTCCGCCTTAAAAAACAACTATTTATCTTTCAATAATACTTGAGGTACTACCCTTTTCCCCCTTTGCTTTTTGTCGCTAAACCTTTTCGGTTTTATGACAATTATGAAGGGGTTTTTAACAAGACCTCCAATTCTTATAAAAAAATCTTTTATTTCTGTTTATCAGCTCTTATTTTGTTTTCAATCTCTCGCAGTAGATTACTTAAATGCTTCTTTTATAATCTTCTTTGCTCTGTAGGCTTCTAATGCTAGTTTCTTGTTTGGATTCAATTCGAGTGTGATGCTTGTGAGTCTTATATAGGATCATGTTATGTTATCTTTGATCAGTTTTGCATGATAGCTGATTTTGCATTATGTAAATAGTAATTGCATTGGATCGTGCAAATGCTGAGGATGCTGCACTTCCAATCCCAAAGATTTTTAATCTTCATGAGGAAAAAGAGGATAGACATAGAAGTTTGGGAGTTGGTGCTAACGATGTAATGGATGATTCCTTCAACCCTGGGAGTCAACTGGAATTCGCAGACGGAAAAGGTAAATTTAGCATTCAAATTTTCAACTGCTTGAAGCTTAATCATTAACAATGTGCCATAAGCTGGAAAATAAAGGCTGTATACGCAGTTCAATAATAGACAACAAATTGACACAAAGGACTGGATGGAAGCAATATGAATCCTCGTTAATTTCTTGCTGTTCTTTTTTGTATGTTGCATCAACCTTCTTTCAATGTTAGCGTGCCACTATTTATTTTTTATTATTCTGGTCTATGTAGATGACTCGATGAAATTAGAAGCAGGTTCAAAAGCACTTTGCATGGAGGATCAGTTAACATCACTAGGAATACTTAATACATGTAGCTATCCGCTTGATTCCATGCTATTTGATGGTATTAATCTGGAAACTAATTTGCCACCAAAGAAGGTTCGTATTCAGTTGATAAAGATGCAAATTATGTTTTATCATTGCAAATATCTCTCGATTTTTAGTTAAGATTTTGTTTGTTTTTTTGAATTAAATTATCAGATGAGAGCAGCTATTTCTTCTATGGAGCCTGGTGATGCTCATAAGTTGCTTGAAAACTTGATGAAATTGTGGCAATCAAGGTTTGGTTAAGTCTTCGTTTCTTGCTTTCTCTACCTTCTAACATTATATATACCAATAACCTATGCTACATGGCCCTGACGTGAGTGTCGGATACCCATATGTTTCCATATGGGTATGTTCAATTTTATCTAAGTTCCTCTTTGTATTTGGAGGATCATTAGAGAGTTATCCCCATACCCATGTTGGTATATGCATTGGACATGGATATTGGAAAACGAGTACTTCAAGAAAAATGAAGAGTTAGAGCAACATCGCTGATAAATAATTAAAATAGTTAAAATTGGGTTAGTAGGTTATCTTCCTTGGTTGCTTTCATTTCATTTTCCTTTAAGTATTTGTGTCAGACACATGTTCGGACATGGGTGTGAAAAGGATCTTCAAACACATGGAAAAACATTATTAAAAAGAAGAAAAAACCCAAAACATACCTGTGTTGGATATGTGCACGTGAACACATTTTTTTTTATAATAAGGAAGGCCTCATTAAAAACCCCTTCATATCCGTCAAGCAACAAAGACTTAACGAGCATTGGAAGGAGGAAAAGAGTGCCTTAGAAATTTTATTGCATAAGACCCAGGTACAATAAGATCACAATACCGCCAAAACTCTTGGCAGCCCTCAACACTCTGCAAAGATGCACTACAATTAAGCATAAGAAATTACCCTACGGAAAACAACCTCCTTATATGACTCAGCCAGGAACAAACTAATACAATGACCTAAGCTGTCAAATATTCCCTAGACACAAAACAACAACAAAAATAAATCCCCTCCACTTAACCAATCCCTAGTTTGGCGAATTTATCCGCTTCCCAATTAACTGTTCTCACCACATGACGCACAATGACACCTTTATCTACCATAATCTCTGCAATATCTTTGACTAAGGATAGGAACATCGGGGTGGAACTAGCTGGATTTTTTATCCAAGCCACTGCCACCGCACTATCGGATTCCAAAATAAGCCTTCGGTTTGCCGACATCCCCAAATCCAGAAACAAATCCAAACCTCTTTTCATCGCAATCAACTCTGCCATAATAGGAGGTCCGGATCCAATACTTTCAGAGAACGAACCCAACATCACTCCTTTCTCATCTCTAATTATCCCACCAATGCCACCCTTCGACCACCACTTATCCATAGTGCTGTCTACATTCGCTTTAACAAAACCTGAAGGTGGAGGAGACCAACTAGCTACCTTTAAAGGCCTCTTAACAGAGCACATCACACGAACAGCTAACGCAAGGTCCCCCACAAGGCTATCAAAGGAGACCATCAGATTCGGAAATTTCGAAGAAAACCAAGCTGCCACTTTGTACCTGGATAGAAAAGATAACAGAACACAATCCAATTTCCCATTATTAAAAACAATATCATTTCTCATTTTCCAAATCGACCACTTACTCGAGTTCAAATAAAATAACTATCCTCCAAGGACCTTCAAATACATGGAAATGTATGTATGTGTTTTTTGTGAATATATAATATATAAGCAGAACATATCCATGTTGGATACGTACACGCATCTGACATACTCTAGTTTGAGCAAAACAGCTATCTTTCACTGGGAGATGAATTTTATCTTAGTAAATTCCAGTCTATGAATTTGATTTGATATTCTGGTAGATTGATGATAAAAATTCTCACATTTAGTAACTTAAGCTTGAAGTCTTGATCCAAGCATGAAGCTTATTATTTTATTTGCTAGGCAGCTAGACCTATGTTGCTCCAACTTTTCTTTTTCCTTTTGGTATATTCATCTCTTACATGTGTAACCAACACATATCAGGCAAGGGTTTCGGGGATATGACCTTTGAAGGTCTCCAAATATATTTGGTGGTGGTGGGGGGGAATCAAACTTCTGTGGGTTTTTACTCAATTTTAAGCTTATTTCATTTCATCAAACAATCTTGAATTTCTTCTGGCAAGAAAATAGCTACAAACATGATATACTTGAACATTCACACTGTTATTGTCTTCAACAGGTCATGTAGTGGAAAGTATGTTCTTCCGTGGATATATAGTTTATTACTGACTCACGGTCATTTTATAATGCCTCGAGAATCCGTGACCCAGATGCTTAATTCCTTATCAAAGGTAACTGTTGTGGATGGAAAATTCCCTACCCTTTTTGTAGCAAGCTTTCTTTTGGTAACGACTGTGTTCCGGGACAACCTTGCCATGTCACCCTCTGCTGTGAAAGGTATTGTTCTTTTCGGAGACCCACTGGCCACTCGAGTATTTTTCACCCGCAAGTGTCCCTTTGTTCTAACCAAGGAAGGCCACCTGCAGGTTACAAATCCTTGAGGGGCCAATGGGTTCTCAAAGAGGACAATACCTTCGATGTAAGCATACGAGTGCGTGATAATCATACCCGAGGTGTATTGGGCAACGAGGAACAGGCATTCAGGAATTCAGTCATTACACATTTATCGTCCTGCGTGAAATTATCCTGTCATTGTTATCTTAACAAAATGAGATTAATATAGTAATTGTAATCATGATTCACAATGCCCCTTTTCTTCCAGAATACTAAATCGAGAGGGTCGGCACTTCAGCCTTTGCTACAATTATCTGGGCGGTTGCAGCTCGTAACAACACAGGTTGGTAACTTAGTGTTGCTACTTGGATTAAATTATTTGTTGTGTTTGATTGTATTTCTTATGTTTCGCTACTTGGATTAAATTATTTGTTGTGGTTGATTGTATTTCTTATGTTTTCGAAACAGATTGACAAGGCAGCTCAGATCAAAACTCGACACTTCACGAGTGATCACCCAATGGATGAAAGTGAAGATGATGAAGACGACGACGACGTAGATGACGTTCTTTATGGTGAAGAAGATGAATCCCAAATTAGTAGTGACGATGATAATTAACTGCCTTCAGTGCAAGAGGTAATAGTAAAACCATGGGACTAAGTTTGATTGTTAAAGATATTACTGTCTCTGTACTAATTACATCATCTGATGCCACCGGTTCAACTGATTGGAATCATTTTGCCAATTGTTTAATGACATTAATGTATACTTTGTAGGGGCTTGTTTTATTTATTCATTTGCAGATCCGATGTTTGAGTTTTGTTAGTTAAATAGATGGAGCTTTGGCCTTTTCAGCATTTGGACCTTTGTGTCAATCTGTTCCAGTTTTGTTTTGGGTAAAATACGGAAATGGTTGTTAAACTATGTTGAAACCATTTTTTATTACTGGAAGTTTTGGAAATTACAAAATGGTTATTGAACACATTGAACTGTTACAAAATGGTCATTGTAAGTTATAAAATAGTAGTCTATTTTGATAAGTTTAAGGACTGTTTTGTAATATTTTAATGAAGTTTAATTATCGATATTATTGTTTAGGAAGTTTGCTGATTGTTTTTGTTAAAAATTATAAAACCATCATATAGTTAACGAAGTTGTTTTTTTGGTTAAATCTTTATCAATAGATCATGCGATAACTAATAAAATTAATACAATAACAAATAGGGAATTAATTGAAAATAATTATTATTAAAATATAGAAGATAAATATATTATTGTTTCAGGTTAATAACTCTTTTACCTTAAATTCAAATCTTGTCTGATTTCGTTTTTAACAAAATTTAATTTAAATTTAATTTGAATTTTAAAAAGGATCTAATAAAATCAAAATAAATAAATAGATTTTATAAAAAATCAAAATTGATTGAATTAAGATAAAATGACTATTTCATATCAACCATACTTTATTAACTAATAGTGGCTACAAAAAAATCAAGGGTAAAGTACATAAATAGTCCCTCGACTATGGGACACTACTTTGTTGAGTACCTTAATTATTAAAAGTTATAAAATAGTCTCTTAATTATGGGGCGATGCTTTGTTGAATCTTCTAACTATTAAATGTTATAAAATGATCACCCAACTACTTATATGTTCTAAATTTTTTTTTTGTTAAAAAACTTAACAGCCGACTGACCTGGACGTCAACATGTTGATTGAGATATGATAAAATATGATCTCAGTTCCATTTGAACATGATTTTATGGATTGACTCTCTATTACATTATGCCTTTAAGCCAGCGCTTGAAACATTATGTTGTCGAGACGGTGCTTGAAAGCAAATGCAGTGTCACTAGACAACATTAAAATATGATTTTTATCATATCCATTCAGTAAGTTAACGTCCAACTCATATAACTGTTAATGTTTTAACGAAAAAATGATGAGTTTGAAATATATAAATACTTAGGGTGACAATTTTATAACTTTTAATAATCAAATGACTCAACAAAACAACGTCTTAATCGATAGATTATTTTATAACTTTAAATAGTTGGGACTCAATGAAACAATACATGTAGGTGATCATTTGTGTACTTTATCCAAAAATCAAATAACTATATTATAACTTTTATAATCCTATGATACTAAGAAAGGGTAATTACATGTTTAGTATTTAAACTATCAATTTTGATCCATTATAGTATCTAAACTTTCAATTTTTTCAAAACCATACCTAACGTTTAGTTTTTGTTTCATTTTCGTACCCGACGTTAAAAACTTAAAGGAACTGTTACAACTTGACATTTTTTATGGGTAAATTACATCATTCATCTCTTAACTATCTTCTCACTCCTATTTTGGTCATTAAATTTTATTTTTTTAATTTAATTACTTAACATTCAGATTACTCCTAATTTAATCACTCTAACTTTCAAAATTTTAATTTTTTTAATTATATTAATAAAATAATAAAATATTATGTCACAAAATATTACTAATAAAATAAATTAGAGTGATTAAATCATGAGCAATTTGAAAGTTGAGAATTTAAATTGAAAATTTTTAAACTTTAATGACCAATATAGGAGTGAGAAGATAGTTAAGGGATGAATGATGTGATTTACCCATGAAAAAATATCATGTAAAAGTTTGGTTAAATGTTTAAGGGCGGGTATTAAAATAAAACAAAAACTAAACGTTAAGTATAATTTAAAAAAATAAAAATTTATGTACTACAATAGACCAAAATTAATAGTTTAAATACTAAATGCGTAGTTTACCCAAACAGAAAAAAATGCTAATAATTAGATTAGATAATTATTTCTATAGTTTACCGATATAAAATTGCTCTGCTACACCTCATTGTGTCGACAGAAATCAAGAAAGACTTCAATTATTAATATTTTTCAAAACGACAGAATTTTCTTCGATCTCAATTCCTTAGCCCACACGTCCAAACCATCGATCTTTGGATCAAAATCGGAAGACAACGGCATTTCATCGGCGATCGAGGGGGAAAATTAAAGGAACAAAGATGAAGATCGATGTTAATGCGATGGCTCGTACTGTCGAAGTCGATAATCGAATTCCTCTCCATTATTATTACCGAATCGCCGATAATCTCCTCAAACAGGTTCGCCATTTGCTTCCCTAATCCTACTTCTTTTCCTTAATAATTACTAATTCACGATCTTTTAATGTTTACTTTTAGCTCAATCTCAGTTGTAGTCATTCCTTTTGTTCAATAAAGTTTTAATTTCTAACGAATTTATAGTTTGGATGATTTGATTAGCTCATTTACCGTTATTATTTATCTTAATATTTCAAAATGGTGGTAATTTAAGTGCTTATTAGCTTTAATTTGTAACATTGGCTTGCGAATGCTTTGTTTATTTATTAGCTTGAAATTTAGGTTTATTTACAGGTTTTTTTAATGTAATTTTAAATTTTCAGGCGAGCATTTACCGAGACGAAAAGAACCTAGTAGATTTGTATATAATACTACTTAGATATTCAAGGTGAGAGAAGCTTAGTGTGGATTGAATATAGAAAAACTACTAAAAGAGTTTGTCTAAGCTTATTTGTGATTTTTATCAGTTTGGTGTCGGAGACTATACCCTTTCATCGGGATTACCAGGTTTTGCTTCACAAAGAAAAGGCTAAATATAGGAAGGTGAGGTTTAATTGTTTTTCTGGTTGCGCTATGATGTGAATCCGCTCTAATGGTATTTAATGATGTTTTGGTTGTAATGTTTCTTATTTGTAGAGGCTTTTAGCTGTACTTGATGAGCTAGAATCTCTAAAACCGGAGGTTCATCGGAGAGTTGAAGAACTAAATAGACCTCATGCAGGGAATAAATTGATTGAATCTGATGGCTATGAAATCACTTCCTATGGCTCTGAGAACACATCACCTTTGGAATGGCCCCATGTGAATAAAGGTTCTAATATGAGCTTAGACATTCAGCAGGTACTAATCCGTTTATAAGTGGAGGATGCAATTTGATTTTCATTAAACAATTATGAATTATCTCTATATCCGTTCCTTGTTTCTGTATGCCTGTTGTCCAGATTTGTTTTCTTGTTTTTGCTTGCTTATATAATATTAGAATGCTTAATATCATAGCTCGTTTCCCCTTTTTATTTGGATGCAGCCTGCCAACATGGCTGTTCAATCTTCATGGAAGTATAATAACGAGCATAATCAAATTGACAATCAGTTCCAAAAGTTGTGAGTTATTTTCCCCCTCGTTAATGATGATTTGAACTTGAATCCTCTAAGCCATACCTTTGCAATCTGAAAATCAGCAGTTGTATGGCTGGATCCATTAAAATTCAACTTTGTGCTTTTAGCTGATACCTATTAGAAAAGGAACTAATTGATGTCAGAAGCACCACCAGGCATAAAATTCCATTTGTTAAGTCTGCTTTACAGCATCTTGATTTTGTTGGTCTTTAATTATTGTCATATTTGTTTGTGTTTTTCAATAACCCTCACAAAAATTAATTATTTGAAAACATTTTCTCTAAGGCTAACATGTTCTAACCATTTCTGGACTGGATATGTTCAGGTCTATTAATGCGCCTCTTCCAAATAAAGAAACATTGTCTAGACACTCATTTCTTGGTCCTAATGGTCTTCGAGGCCAGTGGCTTGGACCTGGTGCAGAGATAAAGGTAAACCTCTGTTTGCTATATCTCCCGCTTTCTCTATATTCTTTCCTTGTCTTTGTTTAATCTCTTTTTCATGCTTAACTGCAAACCTGCATCAAATAATCTATTCTACTATATAATGCAGGTTCAATATCCAAGCAGTATGGACTTGGTTCCTGCAGAAAATTCAGGGTAGGCTTCCAGAAAGTCCAATCATTCTTCTTTAAACTGATAATCTTTTCTATCTTATCCATTATCATGTAATCCTTTCCCTTGTATATTCTGGATAAAAATAAGATAGAATATATGCTGTGACTGATTTTTGTTGCTACAATGTGGCTTCTTTAACATTTTTCTTTGCTATTGCAATTTATTATAGTTCGAATCAGACTGGACAATATGGTTATCTGGCTGTAAAAGATGCTGATATAGGACAGGTTGGTTCAGCGATGGAGTCAGTGCTCTCCTTAGATGATGGTCGATGGTTAAATCCTGCTGAAGGCCGTTCATGTCACCCTTTAATTACTGAGGCAAAGGAGGACCCCTTCCAGTTTGTCGGTATCAAACAACCTTCTCCTCCTCCTGTTCTTGCTCAAGTCCATCAGGACTTTGCTGCAATACCTCCATCAAAAGTTGCTGATCCAAGACCTGGTCCAGCAAAGTCTTCTCAAGACGGAATGCCAAACAGTAGTTCATATCAGCATTTACATGTTGTATGTCCACAGTATCAAATTCTTGTTCTTCCCTATTACTTGTTGGAATTTTATGATTATAAGATTTTGGTCTTCTACATTGATTTTATTTAAATTGTTTACATATTATGTAGCCAGTGCGCATGATGGAGGATTTCTTACGTCTAGCTCGGGCAAATACTGCAAAAAATTTGGAAACATGTGGTGTTCTGGCTGGATCATTGGTGAGAAACTATAATTTGAATCTTCATAAGCATTTAGTTTGAGAGAGTTAGGAAAAAGGGGCTTCAAAGTTTCTGCAGGAGGTTGTTTATACTTTTGATTTTGTGACTGTAGAAAAACAGGGTTTTCCATATCACCACACTTATAATCCCAAAGCAGGAATCCACTTCAGATTCGGTATGATGTTTAACTCTTTCTAACATTTTTTCTTTCAATCCTGTGAACTATTAACTCTACCGAGAGTTATACTATGATTGTGTCCATATTCTTTATTACTGTTGCAATGATTTTTTTTAACTTTTCAGTGTTCAACATTAAATGAAGAAGACATTTTTGAAGTTCAAGATAAATTATCTCTGTTTCCCCTGGGTTGGATTCATGTAAGTAATTAAGTTCACGAGCCTTGAGTTTTCAGTGCTTATTTTTGTGATTACATTCTCTCCGTCTATGTGGCTATGTGCTTTTTTTCGATAAACACATTTTGACCATGAGGTGGGCAAAAGCTCACATATCCTGCATTCTATTTCAAAATACTATTACTTATCATCATTGCTGCGTCACTCCAAAATTGCAGTCATGCCAACACAAACATGTTATTTTAAGGTCAAATTATGCAATTTGTCCTTGTACTATGCGATAGTTGTGGATTTGGTTTGGTCTCTTTACTCCAATTTGCTCAAGTTTAGTCCTTGTGCTTCACAAGTCCTAAAATTTAAGCCCTGAGACTAGCAGAAACTGTAAGCTTCGTTAACTAATATGATGTGGCTTTTTTTAATTGATATGATGTGGTTGCATTTATTTTTGGTATTACGTGAAAAAAAAAGCTGATGACATGGCATGACAACAAAAAGGACCACATCATTTATGTTATCCATGTCAGTACAAACAAAAAAAAAGGAGATAAAAATGCAAAAAGAAAACCCAAGAACTGAACATTATCTTTCACAAGAGAGGTGTAGAGGATTTTTTAATTGGTTCAATTTGTTTACCAGTAAGATTATAATTAAACCAAAAAAAAAAAACTTTTAACTGCATCGACCCCTCACACTCTCACCCGTTTTGAATTTTTATTTTGCTTGATCCAGACCTTTTTTAGGATCTTAGAAAGAATTTTTCTTTTTTCAATTTCTTAACATTTTCCATCATTTTACTTAACCCTCTTTGGAAACTCTTAATTCCTCTAGGAAAGTTAATGTATTTTCTGTGATTTTTTCTGGGTTGTGTGCGCTTTAAAATTTGGCTCTGTTTCTTTGTTTTGGTTGAGGTGTTCTTTTTTTACACTTTATTTTAATTTATTGGATGATTAGAATTTAAAATCATGTATTTACCCACAATTTTAATTTTGTAGAAGTAGAAGCTTAGACCTTGTCTATGGTTTCTTGGAATCAGCAGTAATTATTTATTTTGGAGAAAATATAGAAAGAAGAAAAAATCTGGGTGTATTCAATTTGGGTTTTCTTCATAGATTACAAAATTTTCTGATTAATTATTTTTTTCTTCATATAACTATTAATTACTCCACTAATAGGAAGGTTTTTCTTAATTCTCACTATCTTCACAAACTGCCTTCTTCCTCTCTTCACAAAATCTTGTTGAGCCGGTCGACTAAATTTGCAGATGTTGCATAGTGCAAGGATGAATAGCATAATATGACCTTATTTTGAAGTTAACCCATAATTTTTTGGTTTAACGAAGCTTATGTTGGTTGCTTGAGCTTGACTTAATTGTAATGGATAAAACACTTCAAGATATATGAACACTTAAATGTAGTTCAGTTTTCTCTTCTGTTGTTTTTGCTTTCAATTTTTCTTTTCAATCTCCTTTGATATTTATTTGTTCTTCCTTTGATTTGCGTTATATGGTGTTGTAATATTCAGTGCATTGCTTAATCTCCTTCATGAAGCCAAATTTATGTCGGAGTTTTAGCTTATGTGTTAGGTAGTAAGAAACTAGCGTGTATCTGAATGTCTGAGTGCATTTTTGTAGACAAGTTTTACGCATCTAAAACTTTTAAATACTTTTTCTTTCAGACACACCCAACTCAGACGTGTTTCATGTCATCAGTTGATCTTCACACTCATTACTCGTATCAGGTACAAGAACTCGTACTTGATTTGTGCGTGTGCGTGTACACACCATTTTCTTGTGTAAATTCAATCTTACTACATCTAGTTCCTTCCTTCTACCCTTCTCAAATGTATGAATTACACATTATATGTTTTTTGACAATTTTTTCTCTTTAATTTTTTTAGATTATGTTACCGGAAGCAATTGCAATTGTTATGGCCCCTACCGATACATCCAGGTAGCTTCTCATTTTCCCTAGTGATCACGTCATTGAATTCAGTGAAATATAATAGTAGTAAAACTTGAAAATACAAATGTTTCATGGTTAGACAATTGTTTTCTGTTATGGTCATGTTTTGAGATGCTAATATATCTTTCTACATGAAGTCTCCTACCGTAGAACGGAGTAGATTGATGCTTGTACTTGATATTTCAGAAGTCCACTCCAGTATTTAGACAGTTTTTCATGAACATTTTGTCGATTTGACTTGTTTTCCCCGTTGTCTAATGTAAAAGAATTAAATTACTCAGTTCTATGGTACAGAGATTAAATTGTTCTTTTGACTCTAGTACGAGTCGTCTTCTTGCTATGTACGCAGAAGCATATTCTGCTTTAAAACTTCATTTTGTCTAGACGATGTTCTTGTTTCTTAATCGAACAATTTTGCTGTAAGCTAAATGATGTTGAAAATGATCAGCATGTATAGTAGCCTATTAGTTTCAAAAGGATATTACGAGTTGTGTAGGACATTTGCATACTCTTTACCCGCTAATGAAGCTTTTGCAACGAACTGCAGCCCACACGGTATCTTTCACCTGTCCGATCCGGGCGGTGTGTCCATCATTCGTAATTGTCAGCAACGAGGATTCCATCCGCACGAGGAGCCTTCAGACGGAACACCGATCTACGAGCATTGCTCTCATGTATTTATGAACCCAAAGATAAAGTCCGATGTCATTGATCTCCGGTGAGATACAATCGTATGGGTCAGCTTAAGAGAATCATAGTCCCAATACGGCTTGTAACCATTCTTCGTCAATTCTATTGATAAGAGTTATATATAAACCTTTCCTGCTGTATAATGTATACTATTAGTAGACGTTTCTTTGAAGAAGTGGCCATTAATCATTAAGATTCAACGGAAATGAGATTTAATATGAACAAAATTGGGGGCATTTTGCTGCATCTTATAAAACAAATTTAGTTTTACACAATTTTTTTTTTACATTTCTTTGTATGTATTATATATTATGTAGGTTTAGGAGTGTAAATCAATCGGGCTTGAACAAACAAGAACGTTTTTATGTTCGTTTGTTTATTTTTGAAGCTATTTAACTTCAATTGTGTTCGTTTAAATTTTTAATATTGTGTTTATATTCATTTATTTAATTTTGAATGTTTTTGTATTTGATTCATTTAGCATTCGTGAACAGGTTTCACTTTCACGAACAAATTCATTTAATGTTTGTGAATATGTTTGTTTATATGTTTATTAACATGTTCGTTTAGTTTTTGCGATCATATTTATTTTTATGTTCAGAAATGATGAAATTACACCAATAGCCTTTAAGCTTCTTAGGTTTCACAATTTGAACTTTAAAATTCACCTCCTGTTCAATTTATTTTCCAGTTTTACCAATATTTAAAATGTAAAAAGATAAAAAGAAATAAAAAATCAGATAAATAAGTCAATAAACGTGTCAATAAATGAGTTTTCAAACTAGCTTGTTCATGAACATTTTTATTTAGCTTAATAATCAAACATAAACGAACGTTATATGATCAATTCACAAACTTATCAAGCGTTTTGTTATTAGTTTTTAGACGAAATATAAGGGTGGTCGCCCAAAAATGCACATTAGTTGGCAGTTCAATGCTAGGAAATTGTTGATATATAAATATATCCCCTACTTTTGGTTGTTTATATATCTGCAATTTGGCATAGAATTCAGAAAAATGTATATATTTGAACCTCATTGTCCCCCCTAGTGACATCTCAAATGACAGCTGTGAAGGGGCAATTAAAATGGAAGGATTTCACCAACCAAATCATTCATGATTTGTTCTTCAATGTCTACTTCAAGGTCAAAGGCATCGACTTCGAAGTCCAGCCATTTTCCGTATCCACTGCTCATGTCGTCATCGACGAGCTCATCAACCATACAATCTCCCATGGCTCTCCATCTTGAGATCTCCTTGTGTACTTCTTCTGCTAACCGCTTGTTTCTTCTCATAATCGCCATCCCTTTGGCCCATGTTTGGTGTCCCCCACTCGCGTACTGCCTGCATTTCGAGTTGAGACATTCACTGACCGAATCGAATAGCACCTTACGTTCTAGCTTACCCTCCTCGGCGTCACTTCTTCGTCTTTCCAACTGATCGAAAAGACAAGGGCCTATAATTTGATGAGCTCGGCCTATGGCAAAGTCCTTGAACATCAATTCTACATTACATACTATCAACTTCACATATTCTAGTTCCCAGTTGACTTGTACCATAGGATCTGACATAGCAACAATATTATGATTACTTTTGGCCACTGCTCCGGATGATATCGAAGAAGCCGAGTCCGATAACTCTGTATCAGCTTCGAGTGTGCGTAACTTCTTTAAAGGACTCAATCGAAGAACTTCCGCCGTTTGAACTGTTGAACATCGCTTGCTTCCTGAAAAATGCATTATAGATGCAGATCAGTATAGCTAAGAACTCGAAGAACGGATTTAATAAAAAAAAGTTTATGATGAGTCGGTAGCTTTACCGTCTATACTGAAACTATCCGTGCTATCCAAAGAGTTGCAGCTTTCAGTTGAAAATGAAGGTTCAAGGATAGAAACCGGACTAGGCTGCCGTGCATCGAGAGGGCTACTACTGCATTCATCCATCTCATCAACTCCCTGAATGTTCCATATGAGCATTAGTTATCGTTTTCGTTAATAGTTTTGCTCCAAATGAGCAGTGTTAGTAGTGATTGAAAAAACATGTCCTTTACCTGAAACTTGTGCTTCGATCTCAGCGGTTGAAGCTCGCAGGAGGAAAGGTTCGGATCTTGCGAAAATGTTATAGAAGTTGAATCTGATCCAGATCTGAGAGATTTCTTGGAGGAAGATTCAATTGCATTGTTTAATTCCAGAAGCTTTCGTTCCAAAAGAATACTTAAAGCATCTCCTCCTATCATATTATATCCCAATGAAGAAAAGTTCATGCTCTCGGCTTCGGGTAACAATCGCTTACCCCGGTTATCCATGCCGATCCCATTGTTTTTCTCTGCAATCTGTGTAGATGTTTCGGATGATAGAGTAAGTGGCGCAGTGAATGTGAAGGAAACGACATCCATGCCTTTCTTGCTATCTTCAACCCAGCTTACGCTTCTTTCGGTAACAGCATGGTCTTCCTTCCGATTTTCTTCTATCAACATGCTATCGACACCCTGATTTTTTCCAAACTTGAAATCTCTATCAATGGATCTTTTCTTCCTTGGGTTATTTGAACTAGAATATGGACTTCGTTCACTATCCATTGCACCTACACCGAACTTCCTTGGCCTGGTTTTGGAATTTCCAACGGTTTTAGCCGATATCTTGTGTCGCCCCGAAGCAGAATCCGCAGGGAGCACTCTTCTACCATGCAAGTTGGAACCTATAGGCTTTGAAGGTAATTTTTCTTTATCAATTATACAATTTTGCTTCTGGTTGTTCAGCTTGAGTGCACCGGAAGCATTGCGCATCAAGGATTTCTTATGCAGGCTCTTTCGAGAACTCGGTTGGCTCTTTAAGGATTCATTCGACTTAACCTCACTCTCGTCGTTTGATCCTAACATACTTCGGCGGCTTCTTGAAATCAATCCTTCCCTTTTCTGGACATTGAATTTTGCTTGCATTGCAAGTGAAATAGATTTCCCCTCACTCATTAGAACCGGAGAATTTTCTTCCATATTGGAAGTACGAAATGATGATGCATCTGTTAATCCGTTCCAGCTCTTGTTCAACGGTTGTCCCTTAAGATACTTGACAGCATTCGATTCAACCGGTTTCTGAGTCATTCCAGTGAGCCGAGATGTTTTATGTGCAGCTTCAGATTTCTCTTTTAAGTCTCTAACTCTCAAGGGCACAGAAGAAGAAGATTGAACCAGAGGCTTTCTTTGCGCAGCCTCCAGTTTTTCTTTGAAATCACGAACTTTCACAGGGACTGAGGACGATCCAACCAGTGGCATTTTGGCTCTTGCAATGACTTGAGGACCAGGCTCGAGAATTCTAGCAGCTGCTTCCATTATATGAGCAGCATCCTTTGTAGGAAAAAAACCCGGGCTCTTTATCGGGGACAAAAGTTTATGATGTGTAATTGGAATTGTTTTAACTGCCTTTGGAGGCAAACTTTCGGTTCGGAATTTCTCTATAGGATTGCTGACCATTTTCCGAGGCTTCGAATCTGCAAAGTTTCTCACAGGGCCACCCTTGATCTTGTTGAATGGATCATCTGGATAAACCATTTGCTCATCATGATGATAATTAAGGTTTCTGTTATGGAAATGAGCATCTCGAAGAGATTGAGTTTCGAAAAACGGGGTGGAGTACGGCTCCGAAGATGTAGGTAACGAATCTAATCCCATAAGTCGAGCCACTACGTTCGGGGCCTTCGCTCCATACATATCATCATCCGTAACCGAAGAAGCACAACTATAATCACTACTTCCTTTGAAACTCATCCTGGCTCCTGTTTCATCCTCATCCTTCTGCAATAATCACAACAACAATTGTAAAAGCAGTTTCCGATAACCATCAACCCGAAATCATCTCAGATTTCTGTGTTCTCACCAGGTGAATACGCGTCATCGGTATGTTCCCATCACTTCTCTTTCCCTGTTTCGAGCACCCTAAAATTTTGAAGACATAAACCGATCAGAAACAACATATGATGTGAACAATTATGGTACAAGAACATGATTTTCCCTTGAATATGCATGTGGCAATGCAGTGGGAAGGCAGTTATACCCGGAAAATCCAACTTGCTCGAGAATAACTTCTTCCGAGATTTTGCAGTCCAGTCGAGTAGATGAAAGAATCCACCTACATAACCACCCCCATTCGTCGAACCTTCTTTGTTGACACCCATCGTACTAAAGCAAAACCCTGAGGACTTGACTTATATGAGAAATACAAACCGAAGTCCACGGATCAAATTCGCCTGTAGTTGTTAAACACAGTGAATTTATAACACAATCAGGCACTACAATATAAGCTCCTACTAGATTCTAAATCACTTTAAGATGTTAAAAGTAGTTGAATTTGTGAGATAATCCCTTTCTCTACAAACTCCATTGTTCAAACGTCGAGAAGATATTCGATTACATGAATGAAAGATCCGATGTGCATCAGTAATTCGACTTCAAGATGTTCAAAAAATGCATCAAGTTTAACACGGAGAGATGCAGTATACCAGTCTTCATTTCACATCAAACTTGAAGACACACAGCAGAAATTAAAAAAAACCTACATTCTAGCATTAATTATTGAAGTTTCTATTGTAATGGGGAGGATTAAAACAGATAAAAATTAATTGCATTCACTCATTTCACTATAGTAAGTACCTCAGATCCCCAATCAGTAAATCAATCGATATATTTTTTGTATAATGAACCAAGCAATTCAATCTCATGGAAGCTGAGCATTCAAAATTCTTAAAGTCATACCCACTTTTCCTGATTTTCTCAGCTACCAAACACACACAATGTAAAAAAATTACAAGAAAACATATCATAAAATCAAAAAAACACACAAAAAAAAACCAAATCTTTAAACGACAGAAGAACACTTACATTGAAACCAATGAATAAGATCAGCTTAGCTGAAGCTGAAATTTTCTGTGTTCAACTTGTATATACTTTGAAGCTGAAAGTTGAGATTTATTGAGAAAAACAAAAGTGGAAAGGCTCCTCCTTTGAATGAGAAAGAGAGAGAGAGAGAGAGTATTTGTAGTTCAAATCGATACATGCAGACAGAGAGTGAGTAAAGATGGGATTTTTATTTTTTTAATAGAAAAATATTATTAAAAGGAGGTAAATTTAAAAAGTTTATAACGTCTCTTAGGATTTCAAATTCCAAACGAGACTTCTGAGTGGTCCTTGCGTTCTTTTGTTAAAGTTACACGTCTTTTCAATTTGTATGTGAACCACTTGATGGGATGGTGTACACGTGTTGGAAGAAAACGCCTTTCAAAGTTGAAGTGTAACATGATAAATTAAGTTCCATTAATCAAAGTCAAATTACAACCAGCAATACTATTTTTTTATTAATGTGAGATAAGCACAATTTATTTATCATCAAGGTGGTTTGATTCGTATCAACTAACAATATTTTATATAATTATTAGGATTTACTTCTACAATGATTTTTTTAGTTTAGTCCCTGTAATTAAAAGGAGTATCATTTTACCTAGAAATCATGAATTCGAACAATAAAGTACATATTTTATTAATAATTAAAAAATATTTTAAAAAGATAATATCTTATAATCATATCAATTATTTAAAAAAAATTACCAATATTAAAAACACAATACAATTATATGCTATGAATATAGATTAAAAAAATAATTAAGATGTGGCACGAATGCATGTATGTTTTAAAATTTATATAAAATATAAACTGTCATAATCAATTTTTTATAAATAAATTAATTTAAAAATAATTATGAATTTATTTTTTTGAAAAACTTGAAATTTTATTTATTTTGAATTAATTTGAAATTTGAAGTCGCCATCGACATTTCGGTTAAGTAGGTCAAATATCTAAAAATATCTTTTAAAACAATTTTAAGAATAATCGTTTTAAAGACACAATTTGGTTTGCGTGTCACCATAAATTCATTATTTCAAGATTCGAAAGTTAATTACGTGTGGGAAAGATTAACACTCTCACAATGCCCGAACTTGGTATCTCTCGATTATACATTATCTAAGTACTGAAATTTTATATATTCAAATTCAAAAATTAAATTATGATCCTTATATTTCGATGAATTTTGAAGAACGGGAGAATCTATTTTTTTTAAATATTTGAATCGATGAATATGATTTAATTCACTCAATTTTATTTAAGATGATGTCTCCTTACTACATGCAATAACGGAAATTAAAATCCAGTCATGTTGGACGTAAATTCGTTAACCCTCGACGCAAGACAACATTGCCTTTGATTAATTTGAAAAACGAAAAAAAATAAATGTATGATTTGAGTGTGCAGCAATAACAAATTCTATGTATAAGATGAATGAAATATCGAACGTAATGTAATAGATGAATAAATAAATTAAAAATAACGAAATAATAAATAAAACCAACAATAAATATTTGTTTTATTAAAATAATTTCATTTTATAACAACATGAAAATGTCAAAAATTATACTTTTATTTAAAGTGAGATAAATATATTTAATTAACTTAATATATCAATAAAAATGAGTGTGTATATAAACTATTAGTTAATAAAAAATAATTTAAATATAAAATATTAAAGATTAGAATGGGAATATCTAAAGTGTATGTAGATTAAACTATTGATTGAAAATCGGACCGGATCGACTGGTTTAATCGGGAACCGTTGCCTGGTCTGGTCCATTATATCCCAGTTGAACCGATTTTAGTGAACCGTAAGGAACCGTAAGGAACCGTTCGAACCAGCTTTGAACCGCTCGAATCGGACTGTACCCTAAACCAGTTCAACCTAATTTTTTTTTAATTTTTTATTAAATATTTTTGATATTTTTATTTAATTTTTTAAATAATTATGACGTCGTCCGATTCTTACGACCGGTCTGATCGATTCGACCGGTTAGACCAGTGAACCGATAGCACGGTCGGTTCGCTGACCGATCTGATTTTAAAAACCATGATTCTAAGTATTACATGGAATAATACCAATTGAAAATAAATTTTATTTTTCTCTTTCTTTTCAATTGGCTTTCTCTTTTTCTAGAGGGAAAATAAGAATTTGAAATATAGGAACATCCGAAGATTATTTAGAGAGTTATGCCATTCTAAATAATATTGTATAAAGTCATTGATGATTAAGTAAAATCATCATGCGATATGTGGTGGATCCGATAATATTTTTCAGAACGGGTATATATATATATATATGTATTAATAATAATAAAAAAATTCAATAGATACAAATAAATTTTTAAGATGGATACATTCAGTAAATTGAACAATTAACATAAAGAAATTCGAATTTCAAGATGGGCATGTGCCTAGGGTGTTCAAAGTTCGATTTTAATCGAATTAACCAATTGAACCGAAGCTTTTACGATTAATCGGTCAGTTAATTTTTCTTTCGGTTGGTTAACGGTTAAGATTTTTTTCGAACTTCGATTATTGGTTAGTTCGGTTCGAAATCGGTTATTTAATCGAATTAACTGAACTTTTAAATATTTAAAATATTATATATATATATATTATTTTAGTCTTAGGAGTGTTTAAATTTTGGTTTTAATTGAATTAGCCAATTGAATTAAATGAAATAACCGAAAATGTTAAATATTAAATTTATATTATATATTATTTATAAATTTTGATTAATTAGGTTAATCGACCAGACCAATTAACCGAATTTTATTTAGTTTGGATAAAAAATTTCAAATTTTTTTTGATTCAATTAACGTTTAAAAGAAAAAAAAATTGGTTAACGATTTTTTTATAGTTTGGTTTGGTCACCAAACTGACCAATTAAACAGTTCTACGTGTGCCCATCCTAGGCTCTACGTACATCCAACACTGCATTGCATGCGATGAGATTAAAAAAAATAAAGTATATCAGAATTCAGTGCATTAAATTCAAATGATTGTTTTAATAATTAAATTTTTAAAAATTATAAAATTATAAAATAATTTACCAAACCATTATAAGTAATCATTGTTATCTTATAATAAGAGTAAAATCATAGGCTTAATTATAGGAAGAATAAAATGAACATTTCAATTCTGTTAGCACTTCCTGGGGAAACTTATAGCTGCTGGAAGTCACCACCCTCAACTCATATCCGTCGACGACAGCCGTTCTTCTTCATTCCGGCCACCAACTTCCTTTAGTATGTAGCAAAATTTCTTTCTTCTTTTTTTCACTATACCAGTATTTCCTTGAAAAGTTTAAGATAATCTGAAAGAAAATGGTGCCGAGTGAAGTTCATTGCTCAGTTCTTCTAGCAACTGCACTCACATATCCCACCAGATAATAAGCACGACTTTTCCAGCACATAGCGTGGTATGAATGAACGGATTGACTGCCTGATGTTCAGTTACATCGCCCGATAACAATTCTTCAACTGTATCGCCGTGGTTTGAAAACCACCGGCCAATCTGTCTGCACTTCACAGCCTAAATCCCGACAACATCATCTAACCTAGAGCCCGGGAATCACGTTTACCTTAGTACTCCTCCGGCTGCATCGTTTTATAATATCACGGGCATCTTCCAAGTAACCCTTCTTGACTAAGGAGTCCAAAACTAAATTGCATGTATAAGGATCAGGAAAACAACCTTTAGCTTCCATCGAGTGAAACACCCCAATCGCTTCATCCAATCTTTCGGATTCGAAAAACACCTTAACAAAAGCACCATAGGTATATCTGTCGGGATCCAATCCCAACGTCAGCATGGCGACCAAAAGCTTTTTAGCGTCCTCAATCTTCTTCATTCTACAAAAACATTGAATGAGAGCGTTGAAAGAGAAAACATCAGCACTTATTCCGGCAGACTGCATTTTTCTTGCAAGTTTCAATGCTCTAGCAACATCCCCGATTATGCACAAAGAACGAATCAATATATTGTATGTAACATCACTCGGGGTGACATTCCATTGAAACATTTCGGGAAAACAATCAAAAGCATCATCAAGCATGTGTGCTCGACAAAGTCCGTTAATTAGTGAGCTAAATGTGAAGATATCTGAATCAAAACCGGATTCTAGAAGCAATACCATTTCCTAGCCTCGTGTACTTGTCCAGTCTTGCAATGCCCGTCGATAAGGGTATTGAAAGTAACAAGAGTTGGAGATATACCTCTAAGGCACATCTCATTAAAAGTGTTCCTTGCCTTGTCCATCATTCTAGCTTTGCATAAGCAATCAATCACCATGTTATACGAAATAACGGAGCATAACAACCCAGCCTTGGTCATCTGGTCGAAATACCTATGACCCTCGGCGCATTTTCCTATACCATACAAGGCTTGCATAAGTGCAAGATATGTATTACCCCGGTTTCCAACCTAGCATTCGTTATCATATTCTCGTATATGTGTGTTCATATGATTTGAGCCTCCTCAATAACTAAAACTCCCTTTTTATCCTTTGTAAATCTTTTTGTCCTTTTACTTAGAAGGAAAAGAAAAATGTTAAAATCACACAACTAATTCTTACACTTCACAATTTAAACTCTAAGATTCACATTATATTTAATTTAATTTCTACCTTTATTAATTTTTAAAATATAAAGAAAAAAGAAAAGAAAAAGACGCCATCAATAAAAAATTTATTATTACTTATTTATTTAAGTTATCAATAAAAAATCTGTTAATACTTATTTATTTAACCTATCAATAAAAAAAATTATTAATATTTATTTATTTAAGTTAATAAACTAACGTATAAAACAATACCATGTCAATTTACACCCCTATTAAGGATGAACCTTTTATTGATATAACAATCAAATAACAATAATACTAACATGAGTATACGCAAAACACATAAAATACAAGCACTGTATCAGCTGCAGTCTGTGATTTCATAATCACACCTTCGGACCTCTGTGAAAGGAGAGAATAAATACAGAGAGAGCACGATTCTAAATTACTCGGGGGGGCTACCCTGGCTTTCGTCTTAAACCCAAAACAATTATAACTTACTCAACTTCACAGGTCCCAACTCTTTTGCCTTGGCCCTCAGTACATGTTTCTGAATCTTCCCTGTAGATGTCTTTGGCAATGGACCAAATACCACTGATTTCGGAACCCAATAAGCAGGCATCTTTGACTTGCAAAACTTAATTATGTCCTCCGCTAACCATTGTTCGTCGGATTTATCCGCTACGTCGGGCTTCAACGTCACGAAAGCACAAGGAGACTCTCCCCAACGCTCGTCTGCCCTTGCCACCACTGATGCCTCCAGTACTGCAGGGTGCATGTAGAGACTGTTCTCTACCTCCACACTGCTGATATTTTCGCCTCCCGATATTATTATGTCTTTTGATCTGTCTTTTATTTCGATATAGCCATCCGGATGCTTCACGCCAAGGTCCCCGGAGTGAAACCATCCATTTGCAAACGTTTCCTCGTTAGCTTTCGGGTTCTTTAAGTAACCTTTCATCACAAGATTACCGCGCATCACTATTTCTCCTATAGTTTTTCCATCACCAGGAACTGGATGACCAGTCTGGGTACTGATGACTTCGAGGCTCTCTAAGCCAATATATCGGACACCTTGGCGTGCATTTAAGCGAGCTTGGGATTCAGGTGGCAACGAGTCCCATTCAGGCTTCCATGCACACACTGTTGAAGGACCATAGGTTTCTGAGAGACCATAAGTGTGGGTGACACGGAAGCCTCTTTGAGACATTCCGAAGAGAACAGCAGGGGGCGGGGCAGCACCGGCTGTCATTACATGAACAACACGGGGAAGGGGAAGAATTGTGTCTTCAGATGGGGCATTAACTATGGAATTGAGCACCACAGGTGCGGCGCAGAAGTGAGTCACGCCATACTTTGCTATGGCTGAGTAGACGCCCTTTATTGTTACCTGCAGATGCAAAAGGAACAAGATCAGACATCAGCAAGTAACACGCTATGACCACAACTAAAGGACATTAAAAAGCAAAACATTAGCATCAACCACAAATTTGTAAGGGATGAAACTACTCTTGTAGGCTCGAATCATTACATGCATGAAAGGAGAACATCAGAGGATACAATTACCCTCATTGGCATTTGGCACAACACCGAACTACAAGGGATGTACGAACTCTTATCATGACGTGAACGAAAGCATAACAATGGAACGCCTCATAGCACTATAGATTTATACCGAATACACACCTTTCAGGTTTCAACATAATTTTGAATGTTACCACTGGAGCAAAAGTACAAGGGATGTGAGAACTCTTGAGAGTCTTGACAAGAAAGAAAACAGAACATTGGAAGGCCTCATACCATAACAGGATTACCCAAAAACACAGATTCCATATTTCAACATAATTCATACATTAGCACTGATACCAAGGTACAAGGGAGTATCAAATCATGACATGAACAAAAGAAGAACATCAGATGCTTCATAGCAGAATAAGACAACATTAAACCGAATATGAACCTTCAAGGCTTAAACATAATCTTCGAGGTTTCAACACTACAACATTATCTGAATACATATCTTTCGTGTTTCAACATAATTCGTACATTAGCACTGACACCAGGTACAAGGGATGTAAGAGTTTCAAATCACGACGTGAACAAAAACAGAACATCAGACGGCTTCATAGAAGAGAATAAGACAACATTATACCGAATATGCACCTCGAGGTTTAGATGATTTGAGAACAAATAAGCTAATTTGTTTCATATGCTAAAGCAGAAGTGAAAATTATTTTGCCTACTAATTACCTGTCTAAGGCATATGTTTGTTCCGCAAAGAGCTGCGAGTGCCCATGTAAAACACCAACCATTACAATGGAACATGGGTAGAGTCCACAAGTATACAGATCCTTCATTCATCCCCCATATGAGAGGATTACTCAAAGACATGAGATATGCACCTCGGTGATGTAATACAACCCCTTTAGGGCTTGCTGTCGTGCCAGAAGTGTAGCCCAAAGCAATGCTTTGCCACTCATCCTGAGGAGGCTTCCAAGCAAACTCAGGGTCACCACTTTCTAAGAACTTCTCATACTCAATAGCTCCTTGTCCCAACGCATACCTCAGTGTTTTCGGATCACAGCTTTCGTCTGCAATGACAATCAAAAGTGGGGGCTTGAAATTGCCTTGGCTTTTCTCCTTCATGATTTTCAAAGAATCCTCTGTCAATGTGAAAAAATCTTGGTCGACAATGACAACAGCAGATCGTGAATGACTCAAAAGGAAAGCAATTGTTGATGCATTCAGCCGAATATTGACAGGGTTTATAACAGCACCAGACATCGGAATTCCAAAATGTGCTTCATATGAAGCAGGGACGTTTGGTGCTATTATTGCAACCTGCCAATAATAACATGTAATCCAGAGCAAATAAAATATACTGCAACGGCGCGCAAAGAACCAGCAAAGTTACATAAAGCAGTCCATATGTAAACTATCAATACACAATCATTGGAAGCCAAAATTCACATGCTAATTCAGTTCTTTCTTTGCCTCTTTTCAAGGGAGGTTTAAAGATAGGCTGATTGTTGAGAGTGATAGCAGAGTTGCAGTAGACTGGATCAACAATGTTGATTCATGTCCAGTTGTATATGGTTTCATTGTTAGAGATATAGTTGATAGTCTTAGAATTTTGGGGGTTGTTAGATGGGTTGGAAGGACAGCTAATATGGATGCTGATGCTTTAGCAAAGGCTGGTATAGGATGATTTGATGTTGTTGGCATTTTCAGTTTGGTTTTATGGTTCCTGTTCGGATGGGGTTTGTTCATTGTTGTAAGGGTTATTTGGAATAGCTTTTTCAAGGTTGTAATTATTATTTTCTATAATGGAATTATAAGGCACTCTTTTCCTCCTTCCGCTGATTAAGGAGCTTCTATACAAGCTCCATTAATCAAGGAGGTTTTTAATGAGGCCTTCAAATCTTATAAAAAAAAACATCCAATAGTTTATGATATTCTAATTTCAAAATAAATTATAAATAAGTCAAAAGTGTGCAAAATAACAAGTATTTGTAACCTATTCTTTAAAACCTTAACATTTTTCAATAGATTAACACAGCTATCCACCAATTCTCATATCAAAGATTAAAACAAATACACAGAATCTTCTCCGAAGAACAAATAATATGTATATGAACATGATGCATTTCCATGCATTTGACTAGTAATAGCACCAAAGTTACTAGTCACCAAAGTACATACAGGGAATCAAATATATTCACGTTTCAGTTTTTTATAGTAAAATTTGATCAATAGCTGCTATAAAGATACCTAACTTGCCATTGGTCAGTATTGAAAAAACTGGAATAATTTATTGAACCGGTAAAAAACCAATTTTGCTTTAATTTCGCGACTATTTTTTTTATATATTTTAAAAGTTAACTTCTTAGTTATACATTCAAAACTGTACCATTTGATATAACTTTCCTTTTACTATTTATACATATTTAAAAATCAAAATCAAAATAATGTATTAATATTTCATTTCTTTTGAATGGTTTTTTAGAAGCAAAGACTGAATCGGTGACAGGCAGTCTCACCGATTTAACTTCCAAACCGATTTTTTTCTTCGTTATAATCAAATTACTAATTGAACAGAATATCAATGAACATCTCTACGAGTTTATACACAGTTCACCGTAAAAATAAATTAATATGTAACATTTAGTTCACTGATTAAGCTGCACGAATCCTAGTTTTATATTCGCAATTAAAAACTTCAAAAGACACAATTAAAGTAACAGAAGTCTAATATTTATTCTCATTTTACTTCTCCTCCTCATAAATACACCATTTAGCAATCAAAAGAGAAGAAGTGAAATGTTAGCGGTAAGAAAATGATCAGATTACCGTGCTACCGAGGCCGACGGAGCGATTGGCGAGAGCCGAAGCCAAGCGACGGCAGCGCTGGTAAGTTTGTAGCCAAGTATAAGTACGGTATCCATGGACCACCGCTTTTCGAGTTGGATGAACCGTGGCGGCTCGCTCCAAGAACCAAAGAGGCGTCAACGCCGTGTAGTTGGCGGCGTTCTTCGGGAGATCGTCGATGTCTCGCATCTCCATCACCACCGTTAGTCAACCTTCTTCACTTTCCCTCTCCAAACCTCTCTCTCTTTTTTATTTTTGTAGTGATTACCTTTTTCTCTGCTTACCGTTTCCTAGCATATTGAAATGGCCAAGCGCAGTATTTATAGTGAGAAATGTGTGGAGGGCGCCACGTGGAGACAAATCTATTTTTGTGAAACTATGGTTATAGTCCCTCTACTATTATAGAATTGGATATTTAACACTTGTGCTTTAATTTTAACATGATTTTATCCTTTCATCATTGTAATAATATTAGGTTAACATCGTTAGTTAATCTTATTAAAATGCCGACAAGCAATCTTCCTAAATAATTATGGTATTTTTTAAAAAAAATAATTGAATAATAAGAAAATATTTTTGGTCAGTTGATCAAGTTTCTTTGTCCAAATTTTCCTATTTTATGCAAGATGATTTTCATGGACATCTAATTGGCTAAATAGGAAAGTTTTCTATATTTAGTCGTTTAGCGAGAACAATTACCAAATTTACAAACGGACAAAATAAATTTATATACAACTTTTTACTTAAAATTTGATTAATAAGTATATATACACTATTATTTTTATACTTAACTTTAGTTAACACGAAATAAATTATTTTTAGTAATTAAAAGATTAGGCATGTAAACGAAACGAACGTTCAGCGGGAAGTTCGTTTATGTTCGTCAACCAGAGGGTGACATGTAAAATATTAAAACATTGAGCCCTATGTTCACTCAAGGGTCCAATTTTCTATGTTGGAAGAAAATAAAGTAACAAAGAAGCAAGTGGGGATTCGAACATAAGACCCTTGAGTGAAATATTGCAAGCCAAACCATTGAGCCAAGGTCACCCTCTTATTTGTAGAAATAAATATATTAAATTAAAAATAAATTAAAATAAATTTAGTCTTCCAATCAAATGATAACATGTGTTATGATAGATGTGTAACCAATGACACATGACACATCCTGATTCGTAGGTAAATTTATTTTAATTTATTAAAACTATGATCAAATTGAAAGAATATATAAATAACATGGATTATTTGTGTAATTATACCATCCAGGTAAGTCTGTTAACAGTTGTTAACAATCTACATGTGTTTTTCGCCACGCCTGTTAACGACGAGTGACCAATTTATAACAAACGATAACGTTAGTGACTAATTTGTGACTTTTAAAACATCAATGGTAAAACCGAAAATTAACCCAAATATTAGTGACCATTGGAGTAGTTTACCCAATAATTAAATCAGCTCAAGAGATTCTATGAATTGAAGTTTTCAACTCTCATCCTAATTTACACCACCAAATTTCTATGGCTACGATTTATAATCTTATCATTCAAAAATGTTTTTTTTTTCTTAAAAGTTTTCCAATTATAAATATATGCACAAATTATAAATTTACTCATTTATCTTTTTTTACAATCCCATTTTAATCTCTCAATTATTTTTTAAATTATATCTAATTTTATATCTATTATTATTTATAGAAAAAAACAATAGAAATTTTTGTTGAATCAACTGCATTCTTTTGACACAATTTAAGAACTTGACAGTATTGAAAATATAAAGAAAATGACAAAGAGGACTTAGAACGGGAAATTCTTCCGTACAACAGTCTTTATATACGATTAATAAAATGCGCTACCGAAAATATTTTTATTTTTCTAACATTTGCGGTAAAAAATTGTCTAAAACATTATTTTTTTACTTAAAACATTAATAATTTTTAACGTTTCCGGTAAAGTACCTAATATTAACATTTTCAGTAGAAAAATAATATTTTAGGTAACGCTTTACCAAACCCGCTAAAGTGCCTAATAATAACATTTCCGGTAGAAATAATAATGTTTTAAGTAATTTTTTTTATTAAAATATTAAAAAAAATAATAACATTTTCGATAATATATTTTCTTATCCGTATATTAAACTCAGACTTCCCCTTTGAACTTTTATTGTAAACTTGCATGACAGATTGCAAGAAAATACTATATTATATAGTCTACATGCACGTATAAGAATGGGTTAGCAGCAAGCTAATAGATAGTTGTTAAGCCTGACAACTTAACTGATGAGTGTCTAGAATCGTTAATATTTGCTCATTATTTCTTTAATCTTGTGGATTTATTGCTGTTAATTTGGTTATGTTATGCTTATTTTTGTGCAGGGTCTTACTTTCCAGAATTAGTAATAAAACGAGTGCATTTTGCATTTTTTATTATTATTTGGTCACGGCTGGAGACATGGGCACGACGCGGTCTGACGTGGCAGTTTCTAGAAGGTCCAGTCAGCAGCAGTTTCTAGAAGACTTCTTCCGCACGCCTTCTGGAAGATGGACGAGCAGAGTTGCATTAGGAGACTAGTTTTAAGTTTGAATTTAAATTAAAAAAATAATTATCTTTAGGATTATTTATTTATTTTCTTTGTTTATCCTTTACGCTTTAAGAGGCTATAAATACCCACTTGAAGTAAGTCTAAACTCATCACTCAGATTACAATATTCTTTTCTCTCTAGTTTTTATAAAAGTTTTCTCTTTTTACTTTTCAAGTTTTTTATTTTTCTTTTATTTTCAAGCTTTATTTTTAATATGCTAAGTATGACTTTTGTCATTCTTAGCTAAATTTTTCATAAGCCGAGAGCTGACGCGATGACTCAATTCCAACGGGAGAATTGAAATAGACCCTTAATATTTTCGGAATATCTCTCTCAATCTCTGTGCTTATTTTTCAAAATCAAAATAGTTTTCAAAATCAAAGATTGACTTTGGTCAAGAGGTTGTTGCAATTAAATGTGCGGGAGGAAGATTCGACTTATAGAAAGCAAATTCGACTTCCTGGGAACACACTTGGCGAGATGGTTTCGCCAAGAGGGAATTGAGATCGGAATTGACAGTTATTGAAACAACAATTCGAGTTGGTCGCCACGAACTTAAACGGTAATTGATCTATAGCAATTGATGTTGATAAAATAAATTTTTGAAGCATGAATCAAAGATTATCTTGGATATTTGGTATACAAGATAGAGTCACAGGGATAGCCCTTGTAAACAAAGTAACTGACGTGAATCCCGAAGAGAAAATCTTATTCGATGATCAAAAGAAAATTGAGTTAAAGCAAGACTTGAGGCTATTTTTACCGTATTTATTCACAATATTTACTCTCTTATTTTTTTACTTTAATTGTTTTTATTTATTTAATCATTTTTCTTTACTACTTAAATATATTTTTACCCTCATTCACTATATCACGTCTGACATAGACCAATCAAACATAAATTAAGAATTTCCCAAGTCTCTGTGGATTCGACCCTACTTCTCTACGCTAGAAATTTTCCTTTATTTATTATCCGAGAAGAATGAAATTTATTTTGACATCGAAAACGACAGTTGTCATTAACCTTCATAGAAGACCAGTTGCTTCCAAGTGTTGCTTATACTTGCCAATTTTCCCCTACCTTTTCTTTCTCATTGTTGTTTGTCTTTTTAACACGTCTACACACAAACACTGTCTCAAAAAACCTCAAACGTAGCTTTGGCTAGGGGTTTTGTAAAACCGTCAGCTAACTGATGACTATCAGGAATATATTGAACTTGAAGACAATCAACTGCCACTTTTTCCCGAAATAAGTGCACGTCTAGATCTACATGCTTCGTACTTGTATGGTACACAAGGTTTTCACTTACATAACGGTCGCACCAGACAATCGATACTTCACCACTCATTAACCCTATATCAGAAAACAAAGCATCAATCCATGTTGTCTCAGCAGTAGCTTCAGCGACACTCTTGTACTTGGTTTTTATAGTAGATTGAGATACAACTTTTTGTTTCTTTGAGTTTCAGGACTGTTGAGTCAATCGATCAAGGTAAATAATCAAGAGAGTAATGAATTGATAAAATAAAAAGTTGTTGGAAGCTTTTTAAAAGAAGTAAGAAATTGACACAATGATTTTAGAGTGGTTCAATTTCTTTAATGAAGTTTTCATTCACTATCTTAGCTTACCAACTAAGATTTCAATAAATTCACTAATTTATTCTAACCTTTTATGATAAGGTCTAACCTTACACAACACTAAGACGTATACCCCAAAGTATTAAGTGTTCAACCATTCCTAAGAAGAAATTACAAATAGCAAACTAGGAAACCTCACTAGGAATGTGTTTGCACAATTCAAGAACAAATAAGAACATTCAACAAAATGAAACAAATGAGTACAAAAGAGTTCTTTGAAAGCAAAAAGAATATTGAAGAATGTTGACTTGATTTTGGCTCAAATTGATTGCTTTGGATTTCTTTATGATCTCTTGTCTTCACATATGACTTGGAATCTTGTTTTTATACCTCTTCATTCAATTCTAGCCGGTTGGGTTGTTGTAGGAGTTAATAGAGCTATTAGGAAGAATTTTCAATGTTGCCTAGATGTCTTGAGTACCGGTACTCAGGCTTGGAGTATCGATATTGCTTGCATTAAATACAAAAAATCTAGCCATTAGTGAGAGAGGAGTATCGATGCTCCATAGAGAGTATCGATACCCACAGAGTATCGGTACGAAAGTAGCCTACTGGAATCGTGTTTTTTAAAAACTTAATAGGAGTATCGGTACCAGTATTGGTACTTTAGTGTATTCTTACACACTAGTATCGTTATCAGTATCGATACTGCAGTGTATTTTTACACATTGGTATCGATACCTGTATTGGTACCACTTGAACAATATTAGTACTGTTCTTGCAGTATCGATACTCTAGGGTTAAAATCTGATTTTTGACTCTATTAAAATCCGAAACCCTTTGTCAAATATTGGAAAATTTATTTCCAATATATGACTTGAGTTTTCAAAAGAGTAAAGAGTAAAGATAGAGTGTTTGACTTTAAAAAGAATTTTTATATTCGAATGGTTGAGTCGAATATAAACTTGAAAATCGTATTAAAAAATTATCTTAAAATTTCTTAAAAAATATTTACTTTTTGTATATTAAAATCTCAAAGCATGATTCAACAGGGACATAAGACAAACACCAGCAAACACAACATATCCCACAATAGACCTATAATCATCAATGCTTCCACCCCAGTTTGCATCGGTAAATGATACAACAACCAGACCAGACTTCACAGGAGAGAACCTTAGACCATAATTTAACAATAACATGGCAGAAGCCTTCAATGGATGGATTGTTGAGGCAATATGTCATCATATTATCACCATGCTTGAAGAAATCAGAAAAATGGTTATGCAAAGAATGCATGTTAAGAGAGTTTGGAAAAATAAGTGGCCAACGAATATTTCACCCAAGGTTATAGAGAAATTTGAGAGGAATATGAACAAATCCACCGAATATAGTATGGTTTGGAATGGTCATGGAGGAATCGAGGTGACTCATGGTGTAGATCAACATACAGTGGATTTGAGAAACCATACATGTACCTGCAGGGATGGGAGCTAACTGGAATTCCATGCTGACATGCTATTTGTGCAATGTACCATGAGTCGAAGAACCCTCACACCAATATTTCTGAATGGTATAACAAGGAAAAATATACAACAAGCTACAGTCCCATCCTACATCCAATTAGGGGGAAAAATTCTGGCCAAAAAGATTGGATTATCCAATTCAACCCCCTAAGTTGAAACCTATGCCAGGAAGACCAAAAAAGAAAAGGAGAAAGAGTAAGAACGAGCCTGCTGTTAAGAGCAAATTTGGAAAATGGAGTAGACATGGATTGCAAATGACATGTAGACTTTGCATGCAAATGGGCCATAAGAAGGTTAATTGTCCTACTAAGGTCCCTACCCAAATTGTTAATGAGGGAGCAAATTCCACTACCACTGTGATGAGACCATACCAACTTTCATAGCCTCAGTAAACCGTCAGGTACAAAATAAATCTTTATTTACTTACAATAAAAATTATCATCTAATTTGTTTTCAATTTAGGATACCATTATCAATGATGGATCAACTACTATTGGGAATGGACTGAGACTAGTTACACAATCACAACCTCTTCCAACAAACAACAATGGTCCAACAACTAGAAGCATGAAAATAAATTTGGAAAAAATATAAACACACTGTTACATGCAACAAAAGAAGCAAAGTGGTTGGTATGGGCCTATATACAAACTTAAGAACTGAAGAAGAAATTTTAAATGTAAGTTATTTTATTCATTTTGTATATACATAAGAAAGATAGGGGCATCAACTTCTCAATACCAACATGCTTGGAAAAGGCCTGACTTGAAATGGAAAAGGAAAGAGGCAATGACTACAATAAAACTTTAACAACAACAATCTGATGAACTTAGACAAAAGAAACAAAAGAAAATGGAAACAACAAGGCTTCATTTGGGTTGAAGCTTCAACTGCATTTGAGATTTTGTTTTGAACTTATTGGCTAAACTTGACATTTTGTTACTAGCAAACTCTAATATTGGATGTATAATTTCCAATTGAGCCATATATATTGATTATTGGTCAAAACAATGGAATTATTTTGTTCACACTTGACATTTTGGTCACATTTGACATTTTGATTCATGATACAAATTTCAGGGAAACAACAAACATATAGAAAGTTTAATCATCATTAAATTTCAGTAAAATATAATACAAATTACCAACATCACACATATTATCTAAGATATTATCATCCCTTTAACGTACATATCTATTTTCATCATCTTAATTTGTTTTTGCATTTCTTTTCTCTTGGTTAAACTTGCTTCAGTTGAATCATTTTCATATTTTCCATTCAACATCATCTTCAATGCATCATTCTCTTTTTTTCAACTCATAAATGACAAACCTAGCTCTTTTTGAGAGTGGTTCATCACACCATAGAAAAAACCCGTAATCATTTGTTCTAAAATTTGGGCAACTCAAAAATCTTCTTCCTAAATTCTGATTATTCTTCCAAACAGTCTACTTTGAACATTTCACACCAAAGTGACATAAGATATCTTCACGATCGTTCTCCCAATTTGTTGTCAGACACACTTTACTCTAACAACCTTCAGACAACGAGTTACTATGACGATCTCTAGACAATGAGCACGATGATGATGCCATATTATAAGCACAATGACGAGCACGACCTCTTCAAGAAACAACAACAATGCTATTGTTAATAAAAATACAATTTAGGGTTTTTGATTTGAAATTTAAAATTTCAAATCAGGCAAACAATGTAAAGGAATTAAAGGGCTTTCAAATTCAAAACCAAAATAAAAAAAAATAAGAAAACCTCATTCAAAATCCATTACCTACTTGGAGATGACGATGAAAGAAAGGGGATGAAGGAAAAGGGGTGATCATGATGGAAGATTAAGAGAAAATGTTGAGGGGATTAGTTAGTTTTAAGTTGAGATTTATAGACCGGTTAAGTCCCGTGAAATAAATTAATATATTGAATATTTTTTTTGGAATTACCACATCATCGAGTTGACACGTCAGCAATTATATATGAGGTGGAAACAATTGGCATCCACATCAGCAGAACTTAACGATTCTGTTAGTCAATACAGTCAATGGTATAAAATGATGTAATTAAACAACTACGAGGGCAAAATTGATGCGAAAATACGATAGAAACGAAATTGATAAATTTGACCTACTATAAAGGCAACTATGACCCTTAAGCCTAGTTTTCTTCTCTAAAGAGTCTTAAAAACATCACCTTTTTTTTTTGAGTTTTTCCTCTCATAGTCATCAATTCTCCTTCAAGTCAGTGCCATTAATTCTTTCCGGCATTGTCTTCGAATGTGATCGTTTTCAAACACATGATGCTGCCATGAAACATAATGTACTTTCATACAGTTACCAAGGGACCAGGCCATATGAGGTCGAAAGTCATCCCAAAAGTTGGCTAGAGATCTCCATAGGGAGAAACTAGAGGATCGCCAAATTGAAAGTGGGAGGGGCTCCTGGATTTTGTACTTTTCTTTGAGAATTTTGATCCAAAGAGCGTCAGGCTTGGTTACTAGTGCGACTCCAATTTTCATGAGGAAGGCTTTGTTGTATTCATAGGTACGACGGGGACCCAAAGCCGTCACGATCGAGAGATTGACAAACCTTATTCCAGTTAACGAGGGGGTCTTGGGGGACGAAGGGGAGGAACCCCATATGAAATTCCGGATGATCTTCTCTCTACAACCATCCAAGGGCCGTAAGCAGCAGATTCAACCATCTATTTTTTCTCGGAGGATTGTTGATTGGGAATCGATTCAGATTCTGTGTTTGACTGTAGATTAGGGTAGTTATCTTGAATATGGTCGTACTTTACCACATGAGAAACAGATGGTAGGCAGAGATTCATACTCTACAATTTGGATGTTATCGTTAATGATAAGTTTAGAGACTAACGGCTTGTGAGGATCGACAGAGATGGCCATACGGCAAAACGACCGCGTCCGCTGTCGGGTTGATTATGTACACCGATTTCCTTAATGATGCTTCGTTTGTACAGAATCACTGGTAAGCCCGGCAACCTGATCCAAACGATTACTTTCCGTGGGAATGGTTGGGATGTAGAGAAATCTACCGACCAAGGTTCGATCGTGAGATAACCCCCTAAAAATTATCCACGGTCCTTCCGATATGACCTTCAAGAAATCCGATTGTGTTCTGAGAGTGACCAAGAAATAGTCATTTTCAATATCCATTAGTCGAAAAGGTCGAACTGGTTTCCATAGATCGTAAAGTTTTCCTCGCAACGTGTTATATCCGATGCGACACCCAAGCAAGTTTACGACGACTGTCAAATCCAGACTTTTAATCGCCAAAGATTGGACTCTCTCCAAAAAATCTATTGAAATTATTCCATCGATAACCGAACGCGAGACATCACCCTCTAGTATCTCTATTTCATCCTCTTCTATAATTTATTTTTGTAGGAGGAAACCTTTGGAATAGGAGCCGGTGGTGTCAAAGAACCATCAGAGGTATCCATTGGCGCTGACACATACACAGGAATGTTGACATTTTGGCTGGGTAGGTATTGACGGGGTGAGGGTCTCCAACGTCAGGCGGATCCTCGTCGCGCCGCCTAGGTTTTTTAAGGTTACGAGGATCTTCATTGTTCTCCGAAAAGGTAGGGAGCATGGTTGATTAATATATATAGATTAAAATATATTTAAATCAATTTGAATTTATAATTAAAATAAATTAGTAATGATCAATTTAATTTTCTATTCTTGAATATTTTTATATAGTGAACTTTTAATTTCATTAAAATCGTGACAATTATCATATTAAAATACATCAAAATTATTTAACTACTATTTTAATTTTTTTATGATTTAAATAATGATTTACTAATCTAAAATTTTCACTTCCGACTCTATTAAGTTTTGCAATAGCTATGTGACTCATTCAATGACTTATTAATCAATTACAATTAAAAAGTAAAAATGAGTATCAAAATTTACACAGCATCCACGATTGTTGAGGGTAATATGGATTCACTGCCCCACACACTGAATTTCTCATATATATATATATAAGTTGACATTAATGGAAATATACGAGGGTAAGAAATGAATCATCAAGATGATGAAGCAGAAGGAGGAGATACAGTGAAAGGCTTCTGTTCTTCACATGTGAGCACGTCATGTGGTCCCGCCTCTTCTCTGCCAACGCCCATTAGATCCAGGTAATACAGATAATGTGAGATGATGTTGTTCATGGAATCTACGTCGCCTTGGCCGCAAACTTGATCCCCGTAGAGCACATTCATAGTGGTTCCGAACCCCGGAAGGCGCTTGGCCAACGTGTCGTTCTTGGTCGGTTTCCAGTTTCCGACGAAAACATCGTGGGCCGATGGCTGGTTTTTCTTCACCGGTGTCATCCATCTCCAGATTGCTGCTTGGAAAGCCAAGGTTGCGTTGTTTTCCAAGTATTCTGGGTGGTTCAACAAATCCACCTTCAATGCCTTTCCTGTCTCGCCATAGTTGTAGTTCCTGCAGTCACAGAATCAGCAAACAGAGTACATGTAACATATATTCCAATACTCGCCTAGTTGTGGCGTATGATGAACTTATAAAATTTTAAAACTAAAAAATAGATTATTAATAAAAAAAATCGAATCATCTGTGATTATAAGGCACTTTACCAGTAGATGGGTAAGGCACCACGGCCATGGTATGAAACTCCTGGGGTGCAAGGATAGGTGAATTTGTAGGAGTCATCACAATACACTTTGCTGGGACTCATTTCCTTGTTGTAGCATAGACCCCAGGCCAACGGCCCGCCTGTAACAACTCCGTAACCACCTGAAAATCATTTAAAACAAGTTTTGATGTACGAGATATTCACAAATTATAGGGATGTCTTATGCCTTTTAGTGAGAAGATTTAACTACTCTCAATAATTTGAAAATGAAAATTCAGTCACCCTTACAATTGCTAGTACTCAAACTCATGACCTATAAGAACAACAAAAATTCATTTAACCACTAAGATAATTTAATTCGTGCTACACTATTAACTTTTGAAGTTGAACTTTAACAACATTTTAGACATGACGATGGGTCAAGTTGGAATTTTTGTCAATATGATTTGACTTAAAAAATATATATCCTCCACTTAAATAGATCCGAAAAACATATACCCTTCATTCAACCTAATTTGAACCGACATAAGATAAAGACCTAATTAAAAAACTTATACAATGAGAGATATTACAGCAATTATAGCTAAATTTATAGAAAAAATATATTATTATCCCAATTCGAATCAGATTGAAGAATTTTCACTCTCCACCTGAACTCGAACCGATATGACTCGATCCAAAAAAATATAAAAGAAAAACTCAACCTTAACAAGTTGGTTCAAACTAAAATTTGTCGATTTCAAGTTAAATTATCATCTCTACGAAATCAAGTCACAAATAATTTGGTCACTTATTTTTATAGTTTCGTGTTGGTCAATAATTTTTTTTAAATCATACCTAATATTATGATTTTATTCTATTTTGATCATCCGTTAAAATAAATAAAACCGTTGATGTTATTTTTTTTTATTTCAATAATGACATAATATTATCTTAAAATAATTGGATTGACTAAATCCATAATTTACCAAAACAAAAATGCATAGTTGAGAAGAATTTTTAGTTTAGTTTCGATGTGTTACTTACATGAAGTTTTGCTGCCAACATGCCCAAGAAAACCCGCCACCTCCTTCATACTCATGAGCTTGCCGCCGGTGGTACCAAAACCATGGGGCTGATACTGAGCCGCCGCCGTGATGAAAGAATGGTAATCCCAGAACCCAACCGCATGAGCCACCGGCGTATTACGTTTAGCGAAAAGCTTCTCAAATTGGTAAGTCTGGAAATAATCAGAGATGGTTTGGTTGCAACAATACTGTGACCACCCTTTGTCACACACTTTCTTCCCCTTCACTATCTTCACCAATGGCTTCACCGATTCCTGCGCGTTTCCCACTTCCATAAGCGTCGCCATTGTCAACAAAAGCAACCATTTGGGTTCCATGGGATGAGAGAAACAGTACTAGGTTTTGTTGTTGTTGTTGTTGGTTTTCTTTGGGGTAAAAAAACAAACACTTGGTGGGTTTTTTTATATGAAAAAAATTAGGGGACTCACGTTGTTGAAGGGGATGGTTTAGTTCGAGTGAAAGGTACAGAAAGTGAATTTGTAACGCAGTAGGGGAGATTGGGTTTTCAGGGTTGATGAATGATGACTACTAATGCTGGGTTTTGCTTGCATTCTATGTACCTGCTGTGTTCTTACAATGCAAGCAAGGCAATGGCTTGAATCTTGAACTTTCCATAATACCAATACAAAACACGTTGTGACACCCAATGTTAGGGATGAATATTTGAGTCGAGTCGGATTTTTATTTAAAATTTTAAAATTTTAAGTTAGTCGAAAATTATGTTACAAAATAATAATTCGAGATAAAGAAAAATTAAAATAAGAATTTTATTAATTCAATCTACATGTACTTTACTTTGAACATCAATTTTTTATACATCATTCAATCGTTTTGAGCATGAGATATCGTTGTAAAGATCTCACGAAATAAAATTTAAATCAGTAAATTTATTATTCGTTTCTCCATCATCGCACTTAGAAAATATGCCTCAAAGTTTCCAATTTATTACATTTTTCCCAACATCTTATTCTACTATCAATTTTTATTTGAAATTTTTTGGAGCTAATTTATAAAATTCGAGTCGAGTCAAGTTGTTCAAGATTCTGTTTAAATTTAATTATAAATATTTGCAGTATAATATTATAGTATTATTTGATTCTAATTTAAACATTTTAGATAACCAAATACGATATAGGTATATATTTCTTCATATTTTATCATATGCGTAATATACATATGTCAGGTAGAGTTGGAGAACATAATGAAACTTGAAAATCAATCCACTAATTTTAAAAATTTTGATTATTTAGTTCTAATGTGATTCAAATATAATTTTTTTTCGAGTCTAGTTTATGAAATAAAAAAGAATGAGAACATAAATACAACTAGGAATGAATCGAGGGGCTAATAGGATGGATTCTCTTATGAAAATTTTAAATTTTATATAATTTATATATTTTTATCGATAATTTATAATTTTTTTTTAAATTTGTCCCTAACATTGGATTGTGTGTACATTCTCAAATGCTACAACTGCAAGCCTTTGACTTCCATGCAACGAATCTTCAAGTTAACACGTGTTTAACTTCAGAAATATTGTTTGATATATAACATCTTTAAGTAAAAGAAGCTGTCAATATAAGATGTTGTCGTATATAACATTTTATTTGGGTTATCTAAGGTATAACAACCTTAATATATACAGTTAATAAAATATGTTATTAAAATTATTAATATTTTTTAATATTTTCGGTAAAGCGTTACCTAAAATATTATTTTCCTACCAGAAATGTTAATATTAGGCGTTACCTAAAATATTTAACATTTTCAGTAAAGTGATACCTAAAACATTATTTTTTCTATCGGAATTGTTAATATGAGCTACCTAAAATGTTATTTTTTCTACCGGAAATTAGGTAGCAAAATTAACATTTCTGATAAAAAATAATGTTTTAGGTAGTGCTTTATCGAAAATATTAATATTTTCGATAAGACCTTTACTTAACCGTATATTAAGACTGCCGTACAGCAGAACTAGTATTTTCTTCGGACAAAGATATATAATAATAACGAATTTAGAAATATATTTTGGGAGTAATAAAGAAAATTTAAAACAAATATTTTTCTACCCAAATAACTGATAGCATCCCAAGATGATGCATACAGTTAAACCAAGTAAATAAAAGAGGTAATTTAACAAAGTAAATAGAAGTGGTATTGAATTAATGAGATTCTTTCCCTTACTACATGTTTAATTTCTTGTTTCCATGCTATGAGAAGTTTTATATAAATAACAATTAAAATTTGGTTTTAACCTATACTTGGTTCATTTATATATATAGGCGCATGATCCGCTTACACTATGTAAAATTAATAAGTTTTACATTAATTTATAGTCTTCAGATTTAAATACATTACTTAGGTTTAATTAAAATTTATAATTCATAAATAAATATCTTTTAACTAACAATAAAATAATATCTCTTTTTTTTATCACAATCTCATACCATAAATCTCAAATCCCAAACCTTAAAATTCTTACCCTAAATCCCAAACTCCAAAAATCAAGTCATAAACCCTAAATCCCAAAAATTCTAAAACTTAAATCTTAAACCCTAAATCCCATCCCTAGCCTTAAAAAAAATGTTGTTTTGCTGCGAGTTAAAGAAATATTTATTTATAGGTTATAAATTTTAATTAAATCTAAGCCATTTATTTATTTAAATCTAATGGTTATAAATTGTGTAAAATTTATTAGTTTTACATGATGTAAGTGGATACTAACTCATATATATATATATATATATATATATATTACACAACAAAATAGAATTTATTAAACAAAATCCAAGTTAGGAACATCGTTAAAAACCTCTATACATAAATGAAGAAGAGAGTATTCCTAATTAGGTGCAGTTACAATTCGGGATGGTAACGGGGCGGTTTCGGGCCGGGGATTGGTCCCTCCGTCCCCGTTTAAAAAACTCGTACCCGATCCAGCTTAAAAAACCGCGGGGATTTAAACGGGGATCTCCATCGGGTAATCGGGGAAAACAGCGGGGAAACGGGTATCCCCATTTAGCATAAACGGGTCGGGTATATATATTTAAATTAAATATATAAATATTATATATATATTTAATTTAAATTAAATTTATCAATATTTATATATATATAATAATTATTTTTAATATTTATCGGGCCGGGTAATCGGGACGGGGATTACCAAACCCGTCCCCGTCCCCGTTTAAAACATTTGGTTTTCCCGGTCCCCGTCCCCGTTTATCATCCCCAAACCCGACCCGTTTAATTCAGTTTTCGATTTTTCCCAACGGATTCGAGTTTTTTTACCATCCCTAATTACAACACCTCAAATGTAATCGCAACAAGGCATCAAAAATGGCACTGTAGCCACACCAATGCTTAAGATAGACAGCAGACCCGAGGTTGTAGAGCACAACACTATCCTAAGCAAGCACCACAGATCATCAGACTATCACCAAGCTTGGTTATAGTAACATCCCTGATGATGACAGCTATGAAAAACAGCCAACAACAAGATTCTATATAGGTTGATACCTGCGTGCAAGACAATTTAAAAGCAAATACCAATTTAACTAATCAGCCACATAAGGCACCAATTCCTGAGAATAGCGACACAGGTACAATTTTCTGTACAGTCTTCTTCAACCTTCATCCAATGCTACTGACTTGCCCTTATTAGACATCATTCAGCCTCTTTACTCCTTCTTGACTTGTGGAAGTTCTCCAAAATTTCGAACAGATCCTCCTATTTCATAGCATGGACTCATGGAGCTGGCATGGAACTCATGGAGCTGGCATGGACTCATGGAGCTGGCATGGACTCATGTGTTTTATATCAGTACAAACATATACCGAGACCCCATGTGCATGAATTTTTTCTTCGAATACGATTCCCTTATTTTATATCTGCATTGGGATTTGTTTTTGTTATATGATTTTCATTCTAGATCAGCTAATTGAATTTTCCCTGTGACCTTTTGCTTTATTCAAGATTATGTTGAAGTATTGAGTTCGGAGATTTTATTAGAATTAAATCAAATTTAAATAGAAAAAATTATTCAAAACGAGTTAATTTAAACCGTAGATAAAATTGAAATATTTAAAAATCTAAAAATTAATTTAAAATAAAATCACAGCTTAAAAAATATATAATATAATTAACTCTATTTATTTATAATATTTTATTATATAAGTCTCTATTTGCCTTTTTTGCATTTAAACAGTAGTGTACCCCTGGAAAATTATATAATGGGATAAGAGGGAGGTAGGATAGTAGGCTGCCCCCAACGTTAGGTTGAGAGCAACTTCCGTGGAAGACCTCCGACAATTATGAATTGCCCACCGTGGGACTTGATCCCATAACCACAAGGTAAGAGCCTTGCGCTCTACCAGCTGAGCTGGACGGGCAATTCAAAGATCATATATATTATTATTATTATTATTAAAAATTTTAAGCTTTGGTTATCACCTTTTAAATAAAATAAATAATTATTTAAAGATGAAGTTGAGTTTCAGATTGGACAAAATCTTCCTTAACTTGAAATCGTATAGTGTGAAGAATTTAGAAGTATAATATTTGAGTCGAATTTGAGTTAACTAAAAACCATGTGTCTACTTAATCTGCATCTATCTCTAAGTAGGGAAAAACAATAATTTTATGTTAGAGACATACACATAATTATATATTATAAAATAAATATAAAATTTTAGGATTACAAACATATATTATTAAAAATTTAAAATTATAAAAAATAATTAAATTATATGAAATTTTAAATATTTAAGGGACAATTGTCTTGCGAGACATTTTTTTAGGGGTGGGCAAAACTTGACTTGATTCGAAAAAATGATTTTTTTCAATTCAGCTTGACTCGAGAAAACTTGACACAAATTGACTTGCAGTTGTAATTTCATAAACTCGACTCGAAAAAAGTTCAGGTTCAAATATAGTTGTAAAATATAACTCGAATAGTAACTCGAATAACTCGAAATTTTTAGTAATTAGTGGATTGGTTTTCAAGTTCGAACTGAGTCATCGACTCTGTATGATACATATATATCACATATAAAAAATATGAATAATTATATATGTATTGTATACGATTATAAAAACGATTTAAATTGGAATCAAATAATATCAAAATATTATAAATATTTATAATTAAATTTAAACATAAATTCAAAAATTTGACTTGACTCGAAAAAAATTTCATTTTTGAATTATAAAATAAGAGTTATTAATTCGATTAACTTAAATTTTTTTGGCTCGACTCGATCGATCGCTGAACCTTGGTTTTATCTATCTTCACTAAGTATATTATGATATTTAATTAAAAAATAATATATTTAAGGGAAAAAAAGTCAAAAAGAAAGAAATGCTGTATTTGAATTTTGAACATATAAAAAAAAGATAAATAAAATAGTCAAAAAAGGAAAAATAAACCCAATCAGTGTAAAGAGTAAAGACCCAAATCCAAATGCTTCCAAAATTTTTTACAGCAAAATAATAGAAAAGGTTTTTGCCATAGTTTTATAATATTCTGATCAGCTTACTTTCTTCGTCTTCATTTTCGTCAGACTTCCATATTAAAAGCTCCGAAAACAGCCATCGGTTTAGGTTTTGGCGTATTATTTGTTTAATTTATTGATCCTTTTTATCATATTCCCTGTCGGTAATCTCGTTCTCATACGCGTTTAACTTTTTGATATTGACTTTTTTTTTAATCTTTCAGTGTGGAAAAAACTGCCTAAAGTTTCTCTTCTCGGAGTTTGATTCCGGAGATGGACGGCGGCAGTTCGAGCCCACTCGTCGGCTCCGAGATTCACGGTTTCCGTTCATTGGCAGGTATTCTACTTGTACGGAGTAATTTATATCATACTTTTTTTTTTGTTTTAAATTTCATTTTTTATAATTAAAGTTGTCAATTTGGTAGGCATACTATTACTTATGAGCAGAATATGTTCAATGAATTTTATTTTTTTTAAAAAGAGCTAAATTATCATTTATATTTAAAGTTATGATAATAAGGTTATAATTATGAAATGAATAATATATCAAAAGTTTTTAGTGATTATAAATCTAGTATTAAAAATTGTTACTTAATTTTATTATGCAATATGTACTAAACTTGTTTGATCACTCGCTTATTAATTAGCTTTTGGTTTTACTTTTAACTCAAAATTTTGAATAATTGAAAGTTGGAGAAGTGGCTATTTGTTTCAAAAACAAATTCAGATGAGCAATAACTTCGTAATCATTCTAATGAAGTTACTTTATGCTTCATGTACTGTTAAATATTGTTCTAATAATTGGTTAGATCATGCTTCATATCATAGTTAAGCGTATGCCATTGTTTTGTTAATTTTAGTTTCTATTGTCTTTTTGTTTGGTGAACAGATTTGGATGTTCAAAATATGATGGAAGAGGCCAAGTCTCGATGGCTGCGTCCAAATGAAATTCATGCTATACTTTGCAACCACAAATATTTTCCAATCTACGTGAAGCCAGTGAAGCTGCCCAAAAGTAATTTCTCCTATAATTAGTTACCCATTTTTATTTTATTCTCGATTTCCATGATGCAACAATCTAATCCATGTTATAATTGCTGTAAGGTTTACTTAAAGAAATAAATGACCTAGCTTTACCACTTTTTAAGTTCATGCTGCCAGTTATTTTAGTGTCTGTGAAGTTAGGCATTGTGTTATTGATCTTTTTGCTATTTGTCTTTTGTTACTATTCATTATTAGCAAAAAGGCAGAGCGGAAACCAAAAAGTGTCAACCAAACATAAGCTAATTTGTTTAATCTGATGCAGTTTTACTAGATCACCAAAAGTCAGCATGTTTCAAGAGAATGTTTAGTTGCATTACATATGGGTTCAGGAAATTATCATTATTATTATTGTTATTTTTGGTTTTAGACTTTAGGAAAGTACCTCCTGTGTAACTTCTAAAGTACTAAACTAGGAAAAAGTGTACTTATATAATAACCTATTTTATTCTTGATGTTGTAGGTGGTACCATTGTATTTTTTGACCGAAAGATGCTCCGAAACTTCCGAAAAGATGGCCATAACTGGAAAAAGAAAAAAGACGGGAAGACTGTTAAAGAAGCTCACGAACACTTAAAAGTGAGATTTTCTTGTACTTCAAGGTGCTATAAATGGCACAATTTGTTAGTTAGCGAAGTGAATAACAGCATTCCTCTGGATATTGAGATTCAAATTTTCAGTTTTTGTAATTGTCCTTTTGTTCTTTTACTTGTATAGCATGTTTATAAAATATACATAACATAATGTGGGAAAGATTGTAAGATTCTGCTAGTTTCGTACTCTGCAAACATGCTGCAGTGTTATCTTTGTGCGTTAAAGATTAGGGATAAAGCAACTTTTAGTCCTTGAACTTGGCAATTTTTCCCTGAACTTTATTTTGGTCCACTTTAGTACTCGGACTTCACAATTTTTCCATTTTAGTTTGATGATGTGGCACTTTGATATTCTACCACATCATCTAAAGGGCTAAAAATAGGCCAAAAATCCAAGTTCAAGGACCAAGTTGAGAAAAGTTTCCAAGTTCAAGGACTAAAATTTGCTTTATCCCTAATGATTATGCTATGTTTTACACTGTTCTATCAGCATTTTTTCTTCATGGTTTGAAAGATTAGTTTCACTTGTATGGAACCCTGTCATTGGCACATCTATTTCTTGGCTTGCATCTTTTTCTTTTTAAATTTTATCTCCTCAAAGTAAATTTATGAAATCCATTTTATCCCCTCGATTCTAGGAATTTATGTTATTTGTTCTTTGACTGGCTAAACTGTAATTATTTTGAGAAAATTGTATTTCATTTTACATTTCAGGTTGGTAATGAAGAAAGGATTCATGTATATTATGCACATGGACTAGAAAACCCTACCTTTGTTCGTAGGTGTTACTGGCTGCTTGACAAGTATGTAACTTAGATGTATAACTTTACCTTGCCTATATTTTCCCCACATTGTTTGATTTGAAAATTCTCCTCTCTATCTTTCAATGTATCTTAATAGACTGATCATGAGTAGTCTGACTATATATTATAATATTTTTTCAGGTCTCTAGAACACATAGTTCTTGTTCACTATCGTGGAACACAAGAGGTTGGTGTTAAAATAATAAAAACTGAAGAGTTGGGGGCACTGCCTGATAACAAAAGAATTCTTTTACTTTTTTGTATGCTTTAGAAGCAGTTATTTACTGACCTTTTTTGATTCGGTACAGTCACAGGGTTCTCCAGCAACACCTGGGAATTCAAATTCCAGTTCATTAACTGACCAGTCTACTCCTTTGAATGTTGTGGAAGAGTTTGATTCTGCAGTAGGTAATGTGTCTTATGAAGGTGAGAAAGGACCTCTTTGCGATATTGATGTTGAATTATGCCAACAATTTGTCAGCTTAACTTTGCTATCATGCTTTTTTTCTATACATAAATACATCATGTTCTTATTGATTGCAATCCAACAGAACCCAATAATAGTGTTGATGTCAAAAATCATGAAAGGAGGCTCCACGAGATTAATACACTTGATTGGGATGAGCTTCTGATAACAAATGATAGTAATGACTCAGCTGTATCTAAAAGAGGCAACAAACTGTTTTCTCGTATAAACAATACCCTTATTTAATTGCTAAATTATTAACTTATTTGCTTTGATTGCAGAAAAGAATTCTTACTTTGAGCAATTGAATCAAACAACAGGAAATGGCTTCTCAAATGATGTGAGCAGAACAACTTCATAGCTCTTTAGTCCTTAGATTTCTATATCCTTCTTAAAGTACAGATAATGTTTTTTTGAAAATATATTTTATTAGTTCTCGTTCATCTTAATGAAAACTTGTTATCTTTGTAGGCTAATAGAGTTTATTGTTTCTCATTTTATCTTATCTTGGTAAATAAAATTCCGTGTTGTTATTGTCTAAAGATTTCTTGCATGTACGGAAGTTGGGAAGTGGGCATATAGACTCCTGAACTAATTTTTAAAAGTTCCTTCGCGTTTATGGTATATGTTGCACTTCTCTAGACATATTTGCTCTTCCCAGCAATATATATGGGTTTTAAATGTGCGGAAACATCTTCTTGGGTGTCTTAATATTCTTTTCTTATTTTTGTGTGTTTAACTTTTAGATTGACATGTTTGTCATTTTTATATTATGAAGATCACTTGAACATTCTCCTTTTTATTTTTGTATTTGGCTGCATTATTGGTTGATGTCCAATGCTTCATTTTAGCAGGGTAACAATGCATACTTCAACACTCAAGGCCATAATTTATCAACAGACATTTCTATGCTTGTCAATTTAGTGGAGCCACGTGCTCAGAGTAACAATGCTTACCTCAACCCTCCAGTGAATATTTGTAATCCGATATCCAGTAGCCAATTAAATCCTAATGTGCTGCGGAAAGACACTATTTCCACAGGGACTGGTGAATCATTGCACCTTTTGATCAATGATGGTTTACAAAGTCAGGACAGTTTTGGAAAGTGGATGAACTACGCTACGACTGAGTCTCCAGTTTCAGTAGGTGACTCTCTGCAAGAATCATCAGTTTCATCTGTTCAAGATTCCTTCACCTCTCCTGAGCAGATATTTAGCATATCTGAAGTCTCACATGCTTGGGCCTATTCAACTGAAAAGACAAAGGTGTTCCTTAAAAAGTTCTCTCCCTCTCTCAGTGGGTTTTTAGAAATACCCCCTACCTTATCAGCGTGGAATTAATGCTAGTAAAGTGTCCATCTGAATAACAATTGTTTATATATTAATTTGCAGATTTTAATCACTGGAGCCTTTCATCAAGCTTATCAACATCTTGCTAAGTCCAATTTGTTTTGTGTATGTGGTGACATATGCTACCCAGTAGAAAGTATCCAAGTTGGGGTTTATCGTTGTGTGTTATCACAACATCCCCCAGGACTAGTGAACCTGTATATGAGTCTTGATGGCCATAAACCCACCAGCCAAGTTCTTAGTTTCGAGTATCATGCTCCTTTATCACCTGACCCATTAGTTCCTGCAAAAGATGAGTCCATGTGGGAGGAATTCCGGTTGCAGACGAGGCTTGCTTATTTGCTCTTCTCTACTTCCAAGAATCTTAATATTTTATCGGGTAAAGTTTCACCGAATACCTTGAAGGAGGCTAAGAGTTTTGCCCAGAAGACTAGCAGCACATCCAATAGTTGGACATATTTGCTCAAGTCAATTGAAGAAAATCGAGCTTCGTTTACACAAGCAAAAGATAGTTTGTTTGAAATTGCTTTAAAGAACCGGCTCAAGGACTGGCTGTTGGAAAGAATAATTGAAGGCTGTAAAACAACCGAATTTGATACTGAAGGTCTAGGAGTGCTTCATTTATGTGCCATTCTTGGTTATACTTGGGCTATATATCTGTTTTCATGGTCTGGCTTATCACTGGATTTTCGCGATAAACATGGATGGACAGCTCTTCATTGGGCAGCATACCATGGGAGGTAAGTTCTTTTTGCGTGATTCTTAATATTTATGTGCTTGCTGCATATCTTAAGTCTCGACTTTTTTGGAAACTTGAATGCTTTAATCAATTATCAGAATAGTTTTATCTCCACGTAAACTTATTTTTGTCTGTAATTTGTTTACCAGTGTATGCTCTTGTTCAAAAATTGAACTTTGGTCTTTTAATATAATTGACAATCTTGAATCAGTTTCGAATTGTATCTCACTTCAGAAAATCCTCGATGCAGGGAAAAAATGGTTGCTGTTCTTTTATCTGCAGGTGCAAAGCCAAATTTGGTGACAGACCCCAGCACCCAAAATCCAAATGGTTGCACGGCTGCTGATCTCGCATCTTCAAAGGGTTACGAGGGTCTAGCTGCTTATCTTTCTGAAGAGGCTTTAGTAACACAGTTCAATGATATGGCTGTAGCGGGAAATGCTAGTGGCTCTCTACAAACCAGTAGAACAGAAACAACAAACACCAATAACACCGATAAACTTAACGAAGATGAATTATATTTGAAGCAAAGTTTAGCAGCTTACCGGACTGCTGCTGATGCAGCTGCACGCATACAGAATGCATTCAGGACACACTCCTTGAAAATCAGAACTAACATAATCGAGTCTTCAACCCCAGAGGAGGAAGCACGGAATATCGTTGCAGCTATGAAGATTCAACATGCCTTTCGAAACTTCGAGGCCAAAAGACAGATGGCTGCGGCTGCCCGGATCCAATATAGATTCCATACTTGGAAAATGCGTAGAGAGTTCCTTAATATGCGCCGCCATGCTATCAGAATCCAAGTAAATATCCTCTCTTTTCTTACTATTTAATTTTGGCGACTATAAATGGGCATGATTTCTCTTTTATTGGTCTAATTTTATGATATAATACCCTTTTTTTGAATCAAAATTAGTCTTTCATTTGGATTTCCGATTTTTTCCTACAGACATTTTTTTATAGTGTAAGATTATTCTCTCTGATTCCATCTTTTCAATGGTTTATTATGAAAAAAACATTATTTTCTTATTGTTCCTGTATGAGGAAGTGAGGATTGCTCATAATAGAGACATTGCTTGGAAATTTAATGCAGGCTGCTTTCCGGGGCCTACTAACAAGGAAGCAGTACCGTAAGATTGTCTGGTCGGTTGGTGTGCTTGAGAAAGCAGTTCTGCGATGGCGATTAAAAAGAAAAGGTTTGCGTGGACTGCAAAACCCAGTTGATGCAGTTCCAGAGCAAAGGACGGAAAGTGACACGGAAGAGGATTTCTTCAGAACCAGCCGAAAACAAGCTGAGCAACGTGTTGAGAAAGCTGTTGTGTGTGTTCAAGCTATGTTCCGGTCAAAGAAAGCACAACAAGACTACCGGCAAATGAAGTTGGCTCATGATTTAGCACTGGTAAGTGAATTCTCCGAAATCCAGCAGAGGTTGATTCAATTTTGTTCATCAGTTTACCCGGAAAATCCTACTTTGGCAGTTGGAATATCAAAGCCTCCTCAACCCTTCTTCCTGCAAGGATGCTTGAAAACATCAAGATTCAGGAGCAATCACATCAAAGCGAAGCATAGCTCTAGGGAGCCGAGTTTGTATATGCAACCGATGTCAACCAATAACCTTCAATTTGAGGTACAGCTACTATGGATCTGTAAGTGTTTTTGTTCGAGTTACGATCGGGCGTTTAGTTAGTAGTTGAAAAGCTTGGTTTGGAGTAATGGTTATGTCTATGCCCACTGATATTAGGGTTTGATGTAGGTGCAAGGTTGCTTGTATATTAATTTAAAAATATCAAGAAACATACTTTATGAACAGCTTTAATCCTCTAAGTGATGCTGGTTGGTTGGGTTAAGGCTAGCCTAAAAAGCTGAATACATCTTGTTCTCACTACTCGAATTATTATTTAATGATTAGTTTTTTTTTAAAAATATTTAAGGTTTAATTGAAAAATAGGTATTTAAATTAGAGAAAATCGCCTCAGTGACCAAAAATGCCTTATAATATACGATTTTAACCAACTTTTTTTGGATTTGCCAAAATGACCAACAAAATCGCAACGCGAAATAAAAATCGCAACGCGATCCCCAGAATCGCAAATCAGTTTTCAAAATCGCAACGCGATTCTTGAAAATCGCAATGCGATAGTACAAATTCGCATTGCGACTTTCAAGAATCGCAACGCGAATATGAAAATCGCAACGCGAACACATAAATCGCAACGCGTATCCGTAAACCGCAACGTGTATCCGTAAATAGCAACGCGTATCCGTAAATCGCAATGCGTATCCGTATATCGCAACGCGTATCCGTAAATCGCAACGATAATCCGTAAATCGCAACGAGAATCTGTAAATCGCAACGATAATCCGTAAATCGCAACGAGAATCTGTAAATCACAACACTGAAATTTTGGGTATATAACTACGCAACAGCAGCAAATCATAAACTAAATCCCTAAATCGCAACTCATTCTATCTCCATCTATCACTCTCTCCGGCGACATCCGTTCCTATATCCAACGTCATCATTCCCAATCCGGCAACATGTTTTAGTTTCGCAGCTCGTCTGTTTAGTAAATTAATTTACAACCATGAAATCATCTAATGTTGATCATGTTTGGATAGATTTGTGTTTTGGAGGGTCATGGGATAATGTTCATGGTGTTTTACAATATATGCCTTTACCCATGAATCTTCAACTAAAATTGTCTTTACAAAAGTTAACTTATGAAACTCTAATGCTACGTGTTTCAAATAAATTGAATTTAGAGCCCCTAAGTGGATTTAGGCTATCTTATCAGAGAAATGGTAAAGTTTATTTGTTAACCGACAATGAAGATGTTGAACGATTCATTGCTTACATTAGTGTTTCACAAGATGATGTTACATTGTATGTTGTTGAACCTAGAAGTAGTATTGTTGGGTCAGTAGCGGGTAGTAATCAACTAAGTTTTTATCAAAACCCACAACCTTTCTCTAATCCAAATCCCAATCAACTTTCAGCACCAAATTCCGGTTTTCGTATTGACCAGTTAGACGATGATGAGCCAACAGAAAAAATTGTGAGTACTAGTCAGTATTCGAAATTTGGTCTTGGTCAATATCCGGACTTTGATATTGGTCAATACACGGATTTTGATGATGTTTCAGAAGAAGAAACAGACCCTGCGCGTAATGATTTTGATATTGGTCAATACCCGAATTTTGATGAAGAAACAGCCGTTGCCGAAGAATGTATTGTTGATGATAATGAGGAGGAAGTTACGACTGTGAATGAACATGTTGAACATCCATTCTGTAATTCATATAATCCTGAAGAAGAAAAAGAAGAAGAAAAAGTCCCCGAAGAAAAGAAAATGCCACGGGCGTATAACTGGAATATGCCAGAATTACTTCAGATACCGGAAGAAGAGTTGGTAAAGAAAGCAGTTGATTGTTACACAAAAGTTATTCGTATCAAGAAAGATGATTGTTTTGATACAAAGGAAGACTTGAAGATAGCTTTGTATACGAAATGTGTGGAAGATGGCTATCAACTAAAAGTTAACAAATCAAGCAAAGATCGTTTCGAAACAAGATGTATGATTGACAAAAACTGTACGTGGCGTATGATTGCAAAGAGAATAAAAGATTGCGAAATGTTTCAAGTTAGGACTTTTATTGATAAACATACATGTTCAAGAACCCAAGTTTTTCCTCACCATAGACAGGCAAACAAAAAGGTGTTGGGTGGTTTTCTGGCTGAGTTAATGTTTTTGAATGGCAGGGTATATCGGGGACATGAAATTATGACTGACATGAATGCTCGGTTCAAGATTAGTATATCATATTCTCAAGCTTGGAGAGCCAAATGTTATGCCTTGGAATTGTTGAGGGGGTCGCCAGAAGCATCGTTTGCCCAACTGCCGGCTTATTGTCACAATTTAAAGCTGAAAAACCCTGGGTCGGTAACTCATATCAAAACAGATAGAGATGGACGCTTTGAGTTGCTGTTTATCGCCATTGGTGCTACGGTTAGTAAATCAATATAATTTTGTTGACTCATTTTTGTTAGTTACATGCATTTCACATTTAAATGATTATATTTCTTGTGTATATTATTTTGTAGATTCGTTCGTTTATTACTTGCATGCGCCCAGTTATTATAGTTGACGGAGCACATTTGAAAGGTCGATACCTTGGAGTAAACTTATTAGCAGTAGCCATGGATGCTAACAATGGGATATTGCCAATAGCTTACGGGGTTGACAAATCTGAAACCTCTGATTCATGGACATGGTTTATGGGGCATCTTAGGGATTGCATAGGTCCTATTAGCAATCTGACAATCATATCCGATAGGGCAAACTCAATTGACAACGCTGTTAGAAGGTGTTTCCCAGATGCTTTTCATGGACTTTGTGGTGTTCATTTGTATAGAAATCTAAAATCAAGGTCTGCTGGTATAAAAAAGCACAAATGGACATACTGGAAGGCTGTAAAAGCTTATCGGGAAGTGGATTTCAATAAGCATATAAATTGTTTAAGACGTGTTTTGCCTCAGTGTGCTCAAACACTAGAAGATGTCGGGTTTGAAAGATGGTCAAGAGTACATCAACTTGGAGCAAGATATGGTTTCATGACGTCTAATAGTGCAGAATCAATCAACGCTCTAAGTCGTCATTCTCGGAAATTACCCATTACTATGTTAATGGAGTTTTTTCGAGCCTCTATTCAACAGTGGTACTACAAGAAAAGAAACCATGCAGGTATTATTTCTTTGAATTCGTAACTTATCATATTTATATATTTACTAAGTATTGTTTATTTAAATTTACAGGAACATTGGAACATCGTGTTACACCATGGACTGAAAAAAAGATAACGAAACGTGTTGTGAAGTCAACGTCATGGAGAGTTGAACCATGTTCAAACACTTTGTTTCAAGTACTGGATAATAACTTAAATGGGCTAGTCGATCTAAATGCAAAGACGTGTAGTTGTATGAAATGGCAAACATCTGGTTATCCGTGTGGCCATGTTATAAAAGTTGCTCTTCATTTAAACCAAGATGATTCAAGCGCATACGCTATGGATTGCTACACTACAGAAGTTTATCGACAGACTTATGCCGAGATTGTCTACCCTATTCCACATCCTTCTGAGTGGGACATACCAGATGACTTACAAACAGTTTTGCCACCAGCCATGGACAGAAGGCTACCTGGCCGACCAAAAAGTCACGATCGTATACCGTCTAAGGGTGAAGAGAAGAAGAGATCGACATGTAGTCGGTGCAAAGAAAGTGGTCATACAAGGTTGACATGTGGATCACCAGTGCCATCAAAATCATCTTTTCCTCTACCAAAATATGGATCCTCATCAAAATCCAAAGCTCATATGGTGTCAAGCAAAAGGCAATCATCTTTAAAATCCCAATCACAATTGGCTTCACCTTTTGGGACTGTTAACTTAGGTGATTTTTAAATGCAAACGTTGTATTATGTGGATTTTATGTGTGAACTTTTAACATTTTCAGTTGAATTAATGACTCAGGCCAACCATTTTGACTTAACCAACTCTTGTTATTCAGTTGTTATCACTTATTAGGCATGCATTTGACTATCGCAACACGGAAATTACAATCGCAACGAGAGAATGCGAAATGAAAATCTCAACAAGAAAATCGCAATGCGGAAATGAAAATCGCAATGCGAAATGAAAATCGCAACGAGAGAATCGCAATGCGGAAATGAAAATCGCAATGCGAAAAAAAAATCGCAACGAGAGAATCACAATGCGAAATGAAAATCGCAACGAGAGAATCGTAATGCGGAAATGAAAATCGCAATGCGAAATGAAAATCGCATTGCGATTCTCTCGTTGCGATTTTCATTTCCGCATTGCGATTTTCATTTCGCATTGCGATTCTCTCGTTGCGATTTTCATTTCGCATTGCGATTTTCATTTCAACATAATGCAGATTGAAATCAACAAAATCAACCATTACATTTCAATCAATTAAACAAGCACAAATAAGAATTATGTTCGCATCAATTACACAAATCAACTTTTACAAATCATCTTTTACAAATCAATTAAACAATCAAAAAATAAGCAATAATTCTTATTTCCAATCATCTACTATTGAATCAACTTTTACAAATCAATTAAACAATCAAAAAACAATCAATTAAACTATTGAATCAACTTTTGCAGCCATACATCATTTTCACGCAGTTCACTTCTGAGATTAACCTGCAGAAACCAAACATTTGCTCAAACAACACTTTCTACACATCTAAAACCTACAAACAGCAAATTATTCTATTCTAGGTACTTAACCAAACATTTTCAAACCAAAAGTCTATAAACTTACCAATTGTTTATGGACATTTTTATAACGCGGATGCAGGTAGGCAGCGTCTCGTATATATCGATTTAGCCATATAATGCCGAAACCACAAGCCTACTGCAGCTCTATCTCTATCGGTGGGAGGTAGATACTTGGTGCTTCCCGTCGTCAAACGCTCCAACGCCAAGCATACGAGAGGACTACAATCTCCTCTGGCTCCTCCCGTTTGTTGTGGCGCGGTCTCGTCTCTAATAACTGTAATATTGAGCTTCTTTGGCTTCTTGTTTCCAGAACGAGTCCAATAATTGATCGCATCCAAGAATTTAGCCAAATGAGAGCTCCATCCCTTAATAATCTCTCTTAAATAAGCCAATGATATGTAATTTATCATGCTGTCATACACTATTGTCTTAAGGGATGGGAGCTGAAGCTCGACGAGAATCCAATGTTTACGTTCCAAAACAGGGATAAACACCTGCAATCATAAGTAATAATTCATTCATTTGTGCACTTATTTCATAAAACCTTTAAACTCAATCTAAATTAAATACTAACCTTATCGACCTCCCACCATGCAGGATAAAGTTTAGCTTGTCCATTGCCCAAATCAAATGATTCATCTCGTGCATTCTTCAAGTGAACGGCGTTAAAAGACGTCGGCATAATTGTATATCGTATATTTTTATTTTTCTTAAGTTTTCTTATTATTAGAAGACGTGTCACCCACGCATCGATATGCTGTTTTACAAAAAAGACATATATTAGTGACTTACATAATTTAAAAAAAATTAATCAAATTGAAATATAAGAAAAATATAAGACTTACCCCCCATCGAAATAGCCATTGTCTTCGACCCCTAATAATACGCCCCACCAAGATCGATCAAGCAACAAATAGATATCATCGGTGAGCTTGCATATGTCAGTGAAACACCCCTGGCTCCGCTCATGTAGATAAAAATCAACTGCGGTCTTAGCCCAAAGGGTGTTATCCATAATTGTGTCCGGTAGTTGTTTCCTCTCCTCTTCAGATACCGGTATGGTACTGGCCGGTAACTCATACGAGAGCCAACTTGAATCCATCATGTCCGGCACGTCAGAGGGTTTCTCAAGAAGCCTACATATGCCGCCATGTGAATCGGGCTCTTGAATGGTGGGAGGGACCTCTTCAATGATGACAGTGGCCTCTTGAACGGTGGGAGGGGACTCTCGAGGAATGATAGGGGGGCCTCTTCAACGATAGGAGTGGACTCTTGAGGGATGACAGGCGAGTCGGGCTTCTTCTTGCGGTGTCTTCGCACTATTGGGGTGTACGGAGACTTAATAGCACGTGCACGCTGTCTGATGCGTGAACTCTGTCGTGCAAGCATAACCCGACGTAAAGCATCCACTCTATCGGGCCGCTAAATAATTAAATACAAAAATCAGTAAATAAACAGACATGATATTTAAACAGTGAAAACAAAGACAAATATGTTTCAAACTTGCATTGTATTCACCCAAGTCATTATTCTATCATAGTTCACAAAATGCATCAGATAACAAAGAAAAATATGTTTCAAACTAATACCCTGAAGTTAGTATTTGTCTTTGTTTTGTCTATTGGTTGAAGTAATGCAATCCATTCAAGTTTCAATTTGCAGAAGAAGAAATAGTTTACTTTCGCAACACGAAACTTAAAATCGCAACGCGAAATGAGAATCGCAACGAGAAACCAAAATCGCAACGCGAAACCAAAATCGCAACGCGAAATGAAAATCGCAACGACAGAATCGCAACGCGAAATGAAAATCGCAATGCGATTTTGGTTTCGCGTTGCGATTTTGTCGTTGCGATTTTTGTTTCGCGTTGCGATTCTGTCGTTGCGATTTTCATTTCGCGTTGCGATTCTCTCGTTGCGATTTTAAGTTTCGTGTTGCGAAAGTAAACTATTTCTTCTTCTGCAAATTGAAACTTGAATGGATTGCATTACTCCAACCAATAGACAAAACAAAGACAAATACTGACTTCAGGGTATTAGTTTAGCAGAATTGGCAGCAACCGAACAAATTTACTTTCAACCAAAAGACAAAACAAAGACAAATACTATTTCACAGTGTTAAAGAATACACAGTTTAGCAGAATTGGCAGCAACCGAACAAATTTACTTTCAACCAAAAGACAAAACAAAGACAAATACTATTTCACAGTGTTAAAGAATACACAGTTTAGCAGAATTGGCAGCAACCGAACAAATTTACTTTCAACCAAAAGACAAAACAAAGACAAATACTATTTCACAGTGTTAAAGAATACACAGTTTAGCAGAATTGGCAGTAACCGAACAAATTTACTTTCAACCAAAAGACAAAACAAAGACAAATACTATTTCACAGTGTTAAAGAATACACAGTTTAGCAGAATTGGCAGCAACCGAATAAATTTACTAAGCAATCTAAGTGAAATGGCTAATCTAAGTGAAATTACGAGTAAATTTATCATTAAGTTAAATATGGAAAATCTTAAACTTACCTCGTTGCGTAGAGTATGAACCTCATTCTGCAACGATACTATCATCTCACGTAGAGCGGCAACCTCACCACGTAAAGTTGACACCACCACACGCCATGCACCATCGTTATCGCGTAGAGTACCGATCTCCTCACGCAAGGCATTGACCTCATCACGTAACTCATCCCATGGAGGTGGAGAACAAGGAGATAAATGTCGTGGCCTCTTTACCGGTCGCCTATCATGAGGTGATGGTGGAGAAGAGGCTCGATGATGTGACGGGATAGGTGATGGCTCTCGTTCTAGAGGTGTATAGTCGGGTCGATCGGGTGATGGCTCTGGGTGAGGTGATGGCTCTCGAATTGGAGGAAGTGGATGCTGCTCATCATCCGTGCCATCAAAAAAACTCTGACTAGCTTGCCACCAATCAGTGGCAAGCTCTTCCTCCGTGGGTGTCAGTCTTTGTAATGGAATGTTGGCCTCCTAACAATATAAAAACTCAAACAAAGTTAAACGTCTACTATTAATAACTTGTTATATATTATATGAAAGTATTTGTGTTAACTTACATTATTTATTGTCGCATATGGTATTAAGTCTTCCCAATCCAACAGATTTTTCCTCTTCCAGGAAATAGCCCTGGGAATATCATTTGACGTTTTTATTGCATATGTACGCATGCTGGGGAAAGCCTCGAATATCCAAATCTACAAACAATATAATAACAAAATTAGTAATTGTTAAATAATTAATTATAATTTTAGAAACATTATATAGAAATTCTTACCTTAAAGGCCCAAACAAAGCCTGACAAAGTGTATTTCGACCCATCGCCACGCAAACTTTTGCGGTCATCAAAGGCAGTAGACAACTTAGTCCAGGTAGCTTTCCATATATACGAACCCCATGGAAACAGATTCCATGCATTCAGGTCCTCTACCAATATTATTAGCTCCCGAGGAATAGGTTGTCTGGCCTCTCTGCCTAAAAAGCGGGCATACACAAGTAGTAGAAGGCATACTCGGACAACATCGACGTCATCCATCCGAGTGAAACCAGCTTTCTTATTAAACAATTTCTTCAGGTCGTCGACGTGTAGGTTCGGCTTCTCCATTGACTCATCCGGAAAAACCCGGGATAACCATGATGGGCGGGCGATATGACGAGTGTACCGGCCTACATCATCGTGTCCGAATCGTAGACCAGTGATTAAGCAGAACTCCTTCCGCCCAAAACAAGTATACGCTGGTGGAAAATGAAACCATATCTCTTCCTCACCACGTTGTATACTGTCGGGTAGATTTGATGTCATGGTCTGAAGCCACAAATGGGTCAAATTAGCATCTCCACCCGGATGCTGTACTCTCAGCCATGGCCCGAAGCAGGTTTCCTCAAACAATTGTCTTTGTGCAGGTGAAAGCTTCGAAGCAATTGTAGTGGCTAGGCTAACTTTATTCCTTAATGTCAATGAAGCCGAAAAAAATTTCTACAAAAACAATAAACATACCAAGTTAGATATACCAAAAACTACACTGAAGATATACCAAAAACAATAAACATAAAAAGTAGTAGTTTATTCTTGAAACTAAAATTTGCAACACTGTTTTGTCTTTTGGTTGAAATGAAATCGCAACGAGAGAATGACTGTCGCAACGAGAGAAATGAAAATCGCAACGAGAGAATCGCAACGCGAAATGAAAATCGCAACGCGAAATGAAAATCGCAATGCGATTTTGGTTTCGCGTTGCGATTCTCTCGTTGCGATTTTCATTTTTCTCGTTGCAGATAGTCATTTTCACGTTGCGATTTTCATTTATCTCGTTGCGACTCTTCTGCAAATTGAAACTTGAATGGATTGCATTACTTCAACCAAAAGACAGAACAAAGACAAAGACAAATACTAACTTGAAAATCGCAACGAGAGAATAGCAACGCGAAATGAAAATCGCAACGAGAGAATCGTAACGCGAAATGAAATCTAAGTGAAATGGTTAATCTATTATTGAAATGACCAGTAAACTTATCATCAGTTTCAATATGAAAAACCTACAATAATGCAAAAATTTCAAAATAAAAATAATTAAAAAAACTAACCCTCGGAGGTTGATTTTCCATTTCTGAATATTGTGAGGGATTTCTGACCGTGAATGGTTGTGAGGGATTTCGCCGGAGATGGGGACCGAAATCTTCAGAGATGGGGACGGATTTCGCCGTAGAGAGTGAGAGATGGAGATGGGACTGAGTTGTGATTTTAGGTTTTAGGTTATGAGTTGCGATTACGGGATTTTGTCTTAATATTCGTTTTTGTAATTTGAAAATAAAATACGCGTAGCGATTATAATGGCGCTTTAAAAATCGCGTTGCGATTTACGGATACGCGTTGCGATATACGGATACACATTGCGATTTACGGATACGCGTTACGATTTACGGATACACGTTGCGATTTACGGATACGCGTTGCGATTTATGTGTTCGCGTTGCGATTTTCATATTCGCGTTGCGATTCTGGAAAATCGCAATGCGAATTTGTACTATCGCATTGCGATTGTTAAGAATCGCGTTGCGATTTTGGAAACTGATTTGCGATTCTGGGGATCGCGTTGCGATTTTTATTTCGCGTTGCGATTTTGTTGGTCATTTTGGCAAATCCAAAAAAAGTTGGTTAAAATCGTATATTATAAGGCATTTTTGGTCACTGAGGCGATTTTCTCTTTAAATTAGGTGTTTTTTTTAGTTTACGTTTTTATTAAGTGTTATAGTAACACGAACCAATTTACCTCAGTGATTAAAGAAATCGTTGTTCTTCCTAGAAGTCACGAGTTCGAGCACTATAGAAGTTCCTGGATCATGTGAAATGATAGTAGTACCAAAGGCACCCTATAATTTCATAATAAAAAATGGAAAATTGGATATGGAGATTCTGTGCGGTCAGAAATTCATACATACACAAAGGGGTTTGATAGGAAAGTCGTTTCGATCCAATCTATTCTTGGGGTCAAATAAAGAAAAAGGATATGTCAGTGACTTGGCACGCCAAAGCACTCTCCGAAGGCATGGAATGTCTACTTTTTTAGTCAGAATCACGATGGTAATGTCTCTATTAGATTCTTTGGTCGAAATACGAGAAAATTCCATTCAATTCTCGACGAAAATGAAGTTTTGTGAATTCTCCCCCAGAACTGGAAGATCATTTCGAGGTCTTCAAACATATTTGAGGGTTCAATGTGACTATTGTCACTTCGGCCAACACACAAGATGAGACTACCAACGTGGAGCGGCTTTTAGCAGGGGGAATGACTCGGCTCTTTGAAAGCTTTCATCTCAAGTAGAAGATAGAAGAAAAAAGCTCAGAAGCAAGCACAAGCCTTACCTTCCGCCTTGTCCTTAGATAGAACAGTAGAAAGAAGAATGGAAATAACCGTAGTTACTTTCTCTCTTGTCGGAATTGCTACTAAAAAGGGTTCTCACCGGGAAATCTCTTTAGACTTTAGAAAAGGAAAGTCCTAAGCAGCAAGGTCAGTTAAGTCTTTCTTTTAGGAAGGCTCCCACGTGCCATTAGTTTAGCTGAATTAGCTCTTGTCGTAAGTGCTCTTGCACGAGCAGAAATCAGTAGTCACTCTTCTCCTTTCAGGATATTGCATTCAATAGATAAAGAGAGCTAATCTCTTTTCTTTAGCGATCGAGAATGTTACGTCAAAAGGACCGACGACAATGAAGGATTCAAATACGAACGAGGAGTAGAAGTTTGCTTCAATTAAGCGTGGAATCGAATGATTACGAGATAGACAATGAGACAAAGCCAAGAGATGAGAGCACTTAGACAATTCATTTTGAGTACAGGGAAGTCTGCTGGTAGGAATTCTTCAAGGCGTATTACGGTTTCTCACCGAGGGGGTGGATCGAAGCGATTGCAGCGAAGAATTGATCTGAAACGAAGCACTTCGTCTATGGGCATTGTAGAAAGGATATAATATGACCCTAATCGTTCTTCTTGGATCGCTCCAGTACGATGGATTGAGGGGGTCAGGGTCTGCTAGAGGAAATTGAATACGATAAAGGAGTTTGCTTCGCCACATAGATCTTCAAACCTACCACAACCACCATACCTGGGAAATTCTTTAGCTATTTAGACCAAGGGGAGAGCATGTCTTTCCGTTAGAAAGGGTAAACATAGCAGACACCTTTTCCACGTTAGGAATTTTTGATGAGTAGTGCCAATAGCCAGTTGGACCTTTTAACTATACAAGCTAGCCCTCTTATTCGCTTGCCTCGGATTACTGAACGAGCTTTCTCAAACTCTATTTAGCCAAATCTGAATTGTGGGCCCATGTTGATATGACCGATAGTGCTTTGATCCAGCATAGCATAGTGCCATTTACGTGTTCTCAACTGACTTTGAGAATAACCGATCTTTGGATCGTTTCGTCTCGCAAGCACAATGAGTCGAAAAGCACTTCAATTATGGGCATTGGTAAGGCCGCGAAACCGTTGCCCTATCGAACTCTCTGCCTAAGGAGTCCCTTTCCATGATCTCGTGTCGCCAAACTCTCGGATTCACTTTTGCGGTATGAGTTTATATAATTTTTGCGAAAGCTTCTTTCTTGTGAATCAAGGTGAGGTAATAAGGAATGAATAGGGGATGAATAAAGTACCTCTCGCAATAATTGATGAAATAAAAATGAGATTTGTCCCTCTTCTTGCGTCTGCTTGCTACTCATACTTTCGCTTCCTTGATCTATGTTGAACGTAGAGGGAAGTAGCGTCGTGAGTTGAGTCATAAAGAAGAAAATCGAGATGAGAGGTGGAGCTATGAATGAAGTTTACCTTTCGCCAATGCACTCTTTTGTGCGTGGATCTGCATCGTGATAGTCAAAATGCCCTTCTTCGCCTTTTATTCGATCTGCATCGAGATATCATCTTCTTTCTCATTTTATCTTTGCTCATGGACGAAAGATTCCACCAGGGCCTCATCCAGGCATTCTTTTCCACTCGATCTTAGCATAGAAATTCAGTTGTCTTTGCCCCACTCTTGTTGTCTGAGACCAAGCCCTAAAAGAGGACCTGGGAAGGAATCTCGTATGAAAACTCCGACCTATGGTTTCAAACTAAGTATGCTAAGGTTGGGAAGATGAATGAATCCAGCGTAGGAAAAAACAGCTAGTACTAGAGTGATTGAAAGCTTGTAGATGATATTTTTAGATGGCAGTGGGGCAATTGACTAGATAAGGAAGGAGTGAACCCGTTGTTCCAAGAGCAGAAGTAGACGCGTATGCAACTTCATCTTCATTTACAGATTACGGAACATAGAAACTCTCTAATCGACATGAGAAAGGGGAGTCCGCGTCTAAGATAACCAGTGCTACTATATTGGGTCGGGCAATCAGTTTAGCTGCTAAAAGATCGAGAAACTCGAAAGCAATTATCGATTATCCATCAACTGGGCCAAAGGAATAACATGAGTGAAACTCAAGCACTCGAATATCAGTAGATTAACGTCACGCCAATGCAACTCTCAAACCATCGGCGTGAGGAGCCAACTCTCATCTTTCCCAAGACGAGGGATGCGCTTCCTAATTTAGATAGAAATTCTAGGTTCATTGAAAGGTACAGTAAGGTGGAATCTCGTCCTAAAGAAAAGGATCTGTATTAGTTATGTATGATAAAGTGATTGAGCGTTCATTGTCAAATGAGGTTGAGAGTATTTTGAACATATACTACAATTAGAGGTGAGCAAAACTCGACTCGACTTGAAAAATCGATTTTTTTCCAATTTCGAGTTATTCGAATCAACTCAAATTATAAATTCGCTTTTAGAGTTTGAGTCAAGTTGAAATTTTGAATTTTCGAGTTACTCGAAAAATAAAAAATTTGACACAGTACTTTGATAATTTTACGATTTAATCTCTAATTTCATTATTTCTTCAATTTTTCTTTCATTTTAAGTCTATTTTTTTTATCAAATTTGAATCACATGCTCTTAAACCATAGTAGAGTACATGCGTACTTTTATTCCTCTTTTTGATAACAAATTATTTATTTTTTAATTTAGTCTTCCAATTTTTTATAATTTTCTTATTTCTTCAATTCATCATTTATTTTAAGTTCCATTTTTGTCAAATTTGAGCAACATGCTCCTAAACCATAGTAGAGTATATGTGTACTTTCAATTCCTTTTTTTTATAACAAATTTTTTATTTTTCAATTTAGTCCTTCAATTTTTTATAATCTCCTTATTCCTTCAATTTTTGATTTATTTTAAGTCACTTTTTTTTACCAAATTTGAATCACATGCTCATATACTACAATATAATACCTTTGTAACTTTAATTGTTATTTTTTTAACTAAAGATATACTATCTTTTTTTATTTAATCCTTAAACTATGCATTTTACTCAATTTGGTCTTTTAACTACAATTGTTTGCAAATTATTTCTTCTCATCAATTCCTTGACTCATTTATACTCTCACCAATATTTCACTCTCAAAATACTTTTTTTAAAATATAATATTATGAATATATTTCATAATTTTAGATTGTATTTGATATATTAAATAACATTATAATATGAAAGAATAATATATATATATATATATATAATTTGAACAAATCATTGTCATAATACTATAAATAATTATAATAAAATTAGTACATAAACTTGAATAACTTGACTCGGAATAATTTCAAGTTAAGGTTCGAGTTGTAAAATACGACTCGTCAACTTGAATAACTCAAATTTTTTTGACTCAACTTGACTCGATCGAATGCTCACCCCTAACTACAATCACCTTAGTTTGATAAAAAAAAATAAGTTTTATATAGTAGGGTAGAATAACATATTATAGTCGGAGGATCATTAAAATTTTTAATAGTCGAGGGATTTAATAAAATAACACTATATAGTCGAGGACTATTTGTGTACTTTATCCTATATAATATTATTAGATTTTACATATATAAATATTTTTAAAAATAAGATAAAAATTCTGATGAATTTAACAAGTACCGAGTTTCTTTAAAGCATGAGTTGAACAAAGTTTTATCAAGTTTAATGAGAAATAAATCGAGTTAAACACTACTCAATTCGTAATCGGTTCATTTGATAAATATCCCTATTAAGAAGTTTAAAATTACCAAAATAATATAAGAGTAGATGGGTAGTGAAATTGTCCTCGTATAATCGATTTTTTACATTATTGATAATATCATATTATCAGTTCGGTTCAATATAATTTTTTTAACAATATAATTATGAACTAATATTACTTATAATAATATTAAATTATAAAGTTTTTAAATGCATACTTAATAACAAACACACAACTTATTTAACCATTTTACTTTTATACCCCTTAAAAGGGTAATCATTCGAGATGGAAATGACAAATAACTTAACAAAAAACGATTTGTTTCCTCGCTGTGACTAGGGGTGTATTCGATTCGGTTCATTTTTTTATTAAAAATTGAATCGAACCGAAATAAATGGTTTTTTAAAATTTAAACCAAAATCGAATGGTTAAAAAATCGAATTATGTGAAACCATTTTTTCGGTTTGGTTTGGTAATGCGGTTTTTTCGGTTTGGTTCAGTTCGATTCGTCGGTTTTTCAATGAAAAATTTACTTGAAACTATAAATTCAAAAAAAAATATTGTCTATTAGGTTTAATATGGAACAAATGTGTTTCATATGGAAAATCCGAACCGAATCAATAGAATTGATTCTTTAAATCAACCTGAAACCGAACCGTTTAAAGGTAAACCCGAATCGAACCGAACCGTTTTACTCGGTTCGTGTCATTTTTTCGGTTTTCTCGGTTTCGTTGCTCAGCCCTAGCCGTGACCAATTTACCCTTTTAATGTTCGAATGCTTAATATTGTTTCTAGGACAAGGAATACGGGCTTGCAAGAAATAAACTATGAGCACAATGATATATGTATTAACAATGACACAAAGCTGTTAAAAACTTAAAGCACAACTACCATCGACATGAGTAGATTCCTCCTAGATGTTCCCTCTCACGGTTTAGCCGCCGTGTCGATGTTGGGGAGAAACAAGGTTCCTCGATAGTCTCTAATACAATCAAAGTTCTTAAAAGAATTACGCAGTTTTTGTTCGGGGTGAGTTGAGAAGCTTTTACGCGGAAACTGGCTGGCTGTTGGTGGATGCAGGGGCTTTAACCTGGTTTAGCAATAAATTCAAATAGTGTGTTGAGAGATTCGTTGCGCTTCTGATTCGGAGTAATGCAAATATTTATGCACCATGCTACTCCGACTCTTCATCTTTTATT